CCTGAGTAAGACTACTGTTTCAAGGATCTCATTTTAGGCTCCGCTTCAAAATTTGGTACATTTTGGTAATACTCATGTCAAAGTGACCTATCTTCGCTATCTCCGTGGTTAAAGGACCCCCCTTTGAACCGTTGCTATTTTTGGAATCCCCTCGAAAAATGGTGCAAAATAAGTATACTTGACACTATGCTCACGCGAAATGTCTTAAAAACCCCCCCCCGGATCCCTATGTAACCCCCTAACCCCCTAACCCCGATGACCGGCCTAGTCGGAGGTACTAAGGGAGCAGGGCTGCCCATGATAAATACAACGGGCACACTTCTGACGAGGTCCTTTGACAATGCACCGGTGAGGCACAGGACCGAGAGCACAACAATGGCATCGGACTGGCGACGGATATCCACGGAGAAGAATTTGATGGTAACAGTAATGACGCTTAATCCTCTGACCATTAGTGTCCGATCTAAGCATGATGTCGGACCGTCAATGGAGCATGGGGACATTGTGATGGACGGGAACGAACAACATTGGAGCAAAGACGGAAGGACTCACAGCATATACACAATCATTAGCCTGTTCCTTCTCTTTTACCATCCGATCTGCCTCCGCTTTAAATACAGCCTGAGTAAGAAGATCCATCAAATGCTGGCCATTGGTCGACAACGGCTGATGCTCGGAGGACGACTGAGCGGTACAACCGTTATTGATAGTATTCATTTGAGTGTTGTACATGGACGGATGGATGAAAGATACAATTGAAGACAACTCAGAGGGGAGAACATGGTCATTCTCAGGTGCCGGAGTAGGAGGAGGCGGCGAAGGAGTTGGAAAGTGACCACCAGGAAGATGGGTAGGCGACATAGGAAAGTACATGGGCGCAGACGGAGCGTGTTCGGTGACAGACGGAACATACTCGGATTCCGACTGAACATCTTCATTGCCATCATCCGACTCTTCATGAACCTCAGTAGTAACTAAGTCCGATGGATTGATAGTCGGTCCGTCATTGTCAATATGAAGACCGAGGGCATTGGTCCTAGGCAATACAGGTTCAGTAGCCGGAGCAACTTGTTCAGTTGACTGAGCTTCGTCGGCTTGCTGCAATCCGTCAGCAAGATAAATTGAACAACATCGGACATACCTGTTCAATCCACGCCCAGAAGCTTGGGGTAAAGGGATCGTTGTTGGACAACATTGTAAGTCGACGGAGATACTTGGTCAAGTGACAGAGAAACTCCATTGTGAATCGGAGTAGAGAGATAGTAGAGTAGAGAGATAGTAGAGTAGAGAGATAGTAGAGTAGAGAGATAGTAGAGTAGAGATGAAAGAAGGAAGTCGGATGGAAAAGTGACAAGAGACCCCGTCTTATAAATTGAAACGGACCGACCATAGAAACCCCAAGGCAGTTATTTTTAGATCACGGAACGAGACCGGTACAAGAAGAACAATAAGAATCAGACAATAAGCCAAGACAGACAGGTGGAGGACAATAAGACATGACATATGAAGGTCTTATTGTTCTAAATGGAGCTCAGGGACATGCACACAACCAACATTGGAAAGGGAACGGAGCAGAGATGGAGGGAAACGGATTGAATCAAGTCCGACTCAGCAGGACAGAGGACTGTCCCACCATAAGGAGGGGGGTACTGTTATGATCCTATCATAACACCTTAGTATACTGTACATAGTCTTAGTAGATCCTTGTAGTCAAGGGGAGTGCCACCAAAGAACCGCTTCAAAGAAGCACTTCTAAGAACCCAAGATCGAACCACCTCTTAGAAAGGGTTCGGCGAGCTACTCTTAGAACGGGTTCGACGAGTTGCTCTTAGAATGGGTTCTGTAAGCAAACACCTAGAAAGGGGTTCGGAGAACCTCATAGAACTGGTTCACGACCCGCTCAAGTAGATTGCACCCACACAGGTCTTGAGGGCGAAAGATAAAGAGCCTTCGCACTTTCCCCAGATCAAATATCAAAAGTTACTTCACTTGACTCAAACCAATAACTAGCTTACTATTTCTTCAAGAAACTTGCACAACTTGCGGGATCTTCCAAGTTGATTCACCACTTTCGACCAATTCACAAGTAGTGACTACTTCATTCCTTGTAGTCACACCCCTTTGTAAACCTTCACTTTCCAATCGTCTTACGTCAGCGAGGTCAACGTAGGACGGTTCGTAACAATTTTCGATTCTACTTCTGCTGTCATGAATGACACTATCAAATAATGACTTGTCATAATCACAAGTTCAAACCTCCACTCTCATATCTTCCTCTGCTCTCAAGCCTATCAGGCATCAACCCCAAGACTATCTTTCCCTGTGCTCTCATGCCTGACAGGCATAAGCTCCAAGTACTTCTCTAGTTTCTCTTTCCTCTGTTCTGATGCCTTGTAAGGCATAATCTCTGAGTCTCTTGTTCTCGCAGCTCTTCTATGTTCCGCATAGTTCCTCATAGTTCCTCATCGACCACCTTCAACAAAGTCACCGACTTCCGGCGCATCACGTAGGATATCATAGTAGGACATAGGTAAACGCAGATATGGCATCGTAGGATATCAGTGGTAATCGGTGGGATGCATGGCAATGCATGCAGGACAGTGCAGGACGGTTGTCACGAGACATACTGACCAGCATATGCACGATATAACAGTGCCCAACGGAACAGTGATCTTAACCACTGCGACGAAAAGGCCTATTAATCGGCGGTTAACACTACCGCCGATCGCTGGTTAAATACCCTTCCCCGACTTTCGCTCGACTTGTCACACACTTTGTGACAACGGTTCAGAGCGCTCGTATTCCGCAGGTCTGCACGAGCCTCTTGGAAAAGGCTGATTTTAGTATTTAAACCCTATCTAGTACGGTAGTTTTCTTCTTCAGCGATGTATCGTTTCAATTCCCTTCCCCTCGTTTGATAAGTCACTCAGTTGGTTTTAACCCAACCTCTCGAACCCTCAGTACCTAAGGCAGTCACCAAGGTCCACGAGCCAGAGACTAAACCCCTCAGTTCCCAAGGCAGTCCTTTGCTACCGCAGTCTACCCGCAGGCGTGACATCTGCTGATATTGTGTTGAAATCCATGAACCATGGGCTGCATCGCTCAACCACAGGACACTCTCAAGGTCCATGACTTGGCTCGTATGCTCATTAGATGAGAAGAGTGCATACTGTGAATTTTATGCATGTAGCTGCAGAGGGACCCAAGTAGGGGGGAGCACTAGATTCTCTCTATTACAAGTATGAGTATGAGTAGTGGCTGCTTTATGTACTTGTTGTCACGAACTACGTCGTAACATCCCTGACAACCACCATCACCGACCCTCCTTTCACCATCACCGACCTTCCTTTCACCACTACCAACCTCCACTCGAACCACTGAGACCAACTACGGCTAAGTTACGAGAACCAAGAGGGGATTTGTCACGATAACCCCGCCTAGCGGGGAACTAAGGCGAAGTTAGGGGAAGGGAACCGAGGGAGAGCAGAACAGGGGAAGTTAGGTGAAGTTAGTCAAAGTGAGCGGAGTAGGATATCGGGGATATGGCGAGGTACGGCGAAGTTGAACGAAGAGGACTGAGCGTGAGGCAGTGCAGGAGTTGAGGGACATTCTATGAGAAGAGAGGAGTAGTATAGATAGTTTACAGATCGCTGAACTTCTTCAGCGATCCTTGATTGTTGTCAGTAGCGAGAGATATATTCAGTAGCTACAACCTTCGAGTTAAGGAGAGCTACCACCGAGCAGTTCAACGTACTACGGCTAAGTTAACCGCAGTTCATCGACAATCATCTTATCATTCACCACTCGACGTATTACTACGGCGAAGTTAGCCGTAGTTCCTCGACGAGTACCCTGTCTTAGTGAGACATCGACGCCCCACCACGACGTAGTTAGCCGAGGTTTGTCGACCGTCGGTCAGTAGAGAAGAAGAAACGACGACTGTGACACTTGTAGTCGGTCTCAATAATTGGCGGAGTTGCAGGAAGACAATGATTCATATGGTTCATGCTATATCACTTACCCTACCAGCTCTCATACAAATGGGAGTAAGAGGATCTGATGGGTTGTCCTATGTACAGTAAGTTAGTAGTGATGGGAGGTGGACCAAGTGGATGGACAGATACCACGGATACCCCAGGTAAAGTGCCACATTAGATGTAGAAAAAGTGACTTTCTCCCATGGGTCTTTTTGAGTGGTATGTACTGCACTGGGATGTAGCTGTGGTCTGTAGGATCCTGTAGGTGGTCTGAACATATCTCTAAGTGGTTGCATGCATGAGTAATGGGGAAAGAAAGGATAGCATATGAACCGAAAACGCAGAATCGAAAATGGTCGATTTCGAAGAACTATCGGGCCACCGTAACATCGACTCGGACGCGCACTTGTCGATCTACCTAGTAGTATGAACATCAATCGACGACTCCGGGGGTCCATTGTTCCGCAACAATGTCAAAGAGACCCGTGAGTCCATTCTCTGATCACTGTTTCGCGCTATGGAGACTGGAAGGATGACGCTGACAGTCCATAGACCAAGCAGAGATCCGACATGCATGGGTTCTGACGGCCGAAACGCCCGATCGCAAAGAAGAAACGGATGCCGGATGAGGCCGTCAGCGTCTTGCCGCCGCCGAGGGATCATGATCACACATTCGGCACCTCTGAATTTCTCGGACCAAGTCAACCTGTGTGATACTGACGGGCCCTGTGCGTCAACAGGATGTATCCCCTTTTGACTCCTCGTATCATCTTAAATTCCTTCCTACTGATCCTCAATTCGGCGATCGAAAACCGACGAGGAATCCGAGATTGACTTATCAGATAAAAGCACAAGGACGTTTGGTGACGAGAGAAGACCTGGATACTTTACTTTGTACCCGCGGTATGCCCAAGCTCAAGGCAGACAAAGAGGTTTCGAGATCCTGAAGAAATGAAAGAGCAGGATGTCCCGGCATCTGTTGGTTTACTCGACCTGTTCCGCTTCTCCACCCCCGTCGAGAAAGTTTTGATGATAGTCGGTCTCATCTTGTCGGCGGCATGTGGTGCAGCTCAACCTCTCATGACGCTCATCTTCGGTCGACTCACCTCGTCTTTCACCTCCTACGCTATTGCACTCAATCAAGTCGCACAATACGGGAACACTCCGGAAACCGCTGCTGCCATTGAAGCGTCTCAACATCGACTCAGAACCGACTCGGGGCGTGATGCTCTCTACCTCCTCGCGATGGGTTTGGGAACTTTCATCTGTACATGGGTGTTCATGTTCATATGGAATTACACGGGCGAACTTAGTACAAAACGACTGCGGGAGGAGTACGTTCGAGCGGTTCTGCGACAAGAAGTGAGTCAATCAATGAAAGTCAATGATTGACGTCAGATCGCCTACTTTGACGATGTCGGTGCTGGGGAAGTTTCTACCCGTATTCAAACGGACTGTGACCTGGTTCAAGACGGTAGCTCGGAGCGTGTCGCGCTCGTTGTTCAATACCTCAGTACCTTCATCACCGGTTACGTTCTCGCTATTGTTCGAAGCTGGCGCCTCGCCCTCGCCCTTGCCAGTATCCTAATTGTACTCATGGCCTCGGGAACCTACATGATGATGGTCATGACGAAATACAGCACTGTCTCTCTTGAGGCCATTGCCAAGGCGGGCTCGCTTGCCGAAGAGATTATCGGCTCAATCCGAACGGTTCACGCTTTCAGCACGGGATCCACCCTGAGGAGGAGATTTGACGGACACATACAGAGTAGTCGACGGGCAGGAAGGTCGGATGCTCTTGTGGAATCAGCTGGTGTTGGAGTGATGAGTGAGTGATGAGAGAAGAAGAGACTCATTACTGAAATTCAGTCTTTTCCATCTGGTCCGCCTATGCCCTCGCTTTCTTTTACGGCGGCATTTTGGTTGTACAAGGTCGAGCCAACTCGGGAATCGTAGTCACAGTCATCATGTCTATCCTCATCGGGTCGTTTTCCATGGCGAACATGACGTCCGAGATGATGGCAGTGTCAAAAGCCCAAGGGGCTGCTGCCAAACTGTACGCCACTATCGACCGGAAACCAGCCATTGATTCTTCTGATACAAGTGGGCATCGACCGAACCATATCGACGGGACTATCAGTTTTGAAGGGGTCAACTTTCATTACCCCTCTCGACCAGACGTGCCGATCTTGAAAGACTTCAGCCTGACTCTCCAAGCCGGTCACAAAATCGCCCTAGTCGGCTCAAGCGGTAGCGGAAAGAGTACTGTCGTCTCCCTCATTGAACGTTTCTACGATACTGTGGAAGGCGTCATCCGACTCGACGGCCATGACTTGAGAAGTTTGAACCTGAAGTGGCTTCGCAGACAGATCGGACTTGTGCAACAGGAACCCACTCTCTTTGCGACTTCTGTCAGGGCCAACGTCGAGCATGGTTTGATTGGTACTCAGTGGGAGGACTCTTCTCAAGAGGAGAAACGCAAACTTGTCGAACGTGCATGCAGAGACGCAAACGCGCACGATTTCATTTTGAAGCTTCCAAATGGATACGAAACGATTGTGGGCGAACATGGGAAACTTCTTTCTGGTGGTCAGAAGCAACGGGTCGCTATCGCTCGTGCTATTGTATCCGATCCGCGGATCCTACTCTTTGACGAGGCCACCTCAGCTTTGGATACGAAATCAGAAGGAATAGTACAGGATGCTCTTGATAAAGCCGCTCGGGGACGAACGACTATGACTGTGGCTCATAGACTCTCCACCATCAAGGATGCAGATCTCATCATCGTCATGGGGGATGGACAGATCCTGGAACAAGGAACACACGACACACTACTTCAAGACGTCTTCGGACCGGTGAGTGAAGCAAATTCATCAAAAGCTGACGATTAGTATGCCCAACTTGTAGCCACTCAAAACCTGAATAAGGCGAATGACGATCAAGACCCCGGAAAGAAAATGAAACACCTCAATATCATCGATAGCCAATCGTCTAGTGATCTCGGCAACCCCTATTATCCATTCCAACCTGAGATGAGTGGCACAGAGGATACCTTGGAAGGGGAGAAGCAAGGCATGATTCGGCGGCTGGATGATGTTGGACAGAGAGTTACTCCGGCCAGGAAGCTCTACCATCGCTTACTCCGTATCAACTCTGAAGATCGTTGGATTTATCTCTTGGCAACTTTTGGGTCAGCCTGCGCAGGGGTCGTGTATCCAGCAATGGCCATTGTCTTTGGGAGAGCCCTTCAAGCATTCCAGAGCTCAGACGTACATTTGCTCAAACATGAGCTCACGAATAACGCGCAAGTCTTTACATCTCTCCCTCGTCAACATGATTGCTGATTGAGTAGACGATACTATTTCATTACCAGTCTCCTTGCTGGGCTATCTATCTACCTCCAGATCATGGGCTTTTCATGGACCGGGGCGAACCTCAAAGCAAAGCTGCAATCTCGACTCTTCACCGCAGTTGTCCAGCACGATGTTGCATGGTTTGATGAGGAACAAAACTCTGTGAGTGTAATCTACCACGAACGAAATTGTAGACTTCCGGTTCCTAATCTCTAGACCGGCGCGGTCACCTCTGATATCACCGGATTACCGCAACGAATCGAAGGTCTCTTTGGCACCACTCTTGGGTCAATCGTTCAGACCATAGCTACCGTCATCAGTGGTTGTGTGATCGGCTTAGCGTATGGCCCTCGTGAGTATCTGACAGACACTTAAACCTCTCTGACACCACAGTCCTTGCTCTGATCGGAATTGCTTGTATCCCATTGTTACTCGCAGAGGGTTATATAAGTCTCAAGATTGTAGTACTTAAAGACGCCAAGATACAGAAACTTCATGCGCCTGCCTCCCATCTGGCCGCCGAGGCAGCGGGAAACATTAGGACCATTGCATCATTGACCCGAGAAGACGAAGTGAACGAGATGTATTCGAAATCGTTGGAAGGACCACGAAACGTCGCGATGTGAGTCAGACCATCATAGGAGAAGATTGCTGAATTTTGATAGTCGCTCTTCGATTCCTTCACAAGCTCTGTACGCCGCTAGTAAAGGTATCAGCTTTCTCATAATCTCCCTCGTATTTTACGTCGGTGCGTTGTGGATCATATCGAATAGATACTCGACGGCGGAATTCTTCACCGTTCTCATGGCCGTCGTGAGTCTGCTAAACTTTACAATCAGTTCAGGAATGTGGCGTTGAGGTGGACAGATCTTTGCTAGTATTCAATCCGCCAATATATTCACCTTTGTTCCAGACGCGACGAAGGCCAACGGCGCGGCAAAGAAAACCTTTCAACTTCTTGATGAGGTACCGGCGATTGATACGCTATTGGGCCAAGGTATACATCTGGATGAGACTAAACCCAATGGTTATATTCGACTTGAAGGTGTACATTTCCGATATCCCTCCCGACCCGAGATTCAGGTGCTCTGGGACCTCACTTTAGATATCCCACAAGGTTCCTAGTGAGTCGAATGAACATCGATACAGAGTACCTCAAGCTGATGGTAAAAGTGTGGCTATCGTTGGACCTTCGGGTTGCGGTAAATCCACCATTATCCAACTTTTAGAACGATTCTATGACCCGCTTGTTGGTCGAATCACAATGGACGGTGTTGATATTCGACGACTGAGCATCTTGGACTATCGAGCACAAATGTCGCTCGTCTCTCAGGAACCTGTGAGTATTCATGAGTCGGACAATCATTGACGATCACAGACGCTCTACTCCGGTTCCATACGGTTCAACATCCTTCTCGGTGCTAACAAACCAATAGATCAAGTTAGTGAGGAAGAGCTCGTTTCCGCTTGTAAGGATGCCAACATTGTCAGTCAGTCATCGGAGGAGGAGAACGGACTGATCAAATAGTACGACTTCATCATGTCTCTTCCTGATGGGTTTGACACGGAAGTAGGTCGATCTGGCTCGCAGTTGTCAGGTGGTCAGGTTAGTCAACACTATCATATGCTGGACGACCTTTTGATTAGGTAGAAACAACGTATCGCCATCGCTCGAGCTTTGGTAAGGAACCCGAAGATCTTGTTACTGGACGAAGCTACCTCTGCACTTGATTCACAGTCCGAAAGGGTGGTGCAAGAAGCGTTAGATCGGGCTGCTAAAGGTCGGACCACTATGTGAGTCGTGCGCTCACTCGATGACCAGTTGTCAAAGTTGACACCGCGACCACCAAGAGCTATTGCCCATAGGTTATCGACCATCCAAAAGGCTGATATCATATACTGCCTCGCCGGTGGTCAAGTAGTGGAGAAAGGGACGCATGACGAGTTGTTAGCTAGACGGGGTACTTATGTGAGTCATACCACTGCCAAATGGTGTTGCTCACAGGGTAGTACGAATTGGTGCAGTTACAAAATCTAAGTAGGAGATGAATACGCCCGGCAGATCAGGACAAACATGCAGATACGGGTTATTTAGCTTACTACGATACGCTAACCCTTGTACACGTAACCATCCTCGTGGGCTGGAGTCAACTTGTCGTCCAACATCGCCGCCAACTGCTGGTATTCTGGATCTTCTTCCAGATGGATGAAATGATTCGGTTTCCACGACTCTCCCTTTGCCGCCTCGTCTTTTCGGCGTTGGCGTTGATCGTTCTAAAATATCAGTTCTGTTAGACTTGCATGATGGATCCACACTCACCTCGATCCGGGATTTCTCTTTGCCAGCCTCATCATAACTTCCCGTCCGTATACCCTTCGCCACCTTCTCCCAGAGTTTCCTACTCTCCCACTCGCCCTGCTCCTCGATCGGTCGGACAACCACTTCTTCTTTAGGAGCGCTGGTGTCAAGGAACACGGGTCCCTTGCTTCCCCCGACATACGAGATTCCAGTCCATTGACCTTCGTATGACTGGATCGTGCGATTACCTCTGTTGATGGTGGCTTTGAACGTGTGAGCTTTGCCGGTAAAGTAGCCTTTACCTTTGTAGTCGATCTGGAAAATCAGCATGTATCATCTGAGCACAGCACACTTCGGGTTCAGTGATTGGTCACTCACCACGGCTGTGAAACCGGTATTGCTTTGAATGGCGTTCGTGTCGGTGAGCTCGATGTAAGGTGATCCCCACACTATACCCTCGATCCGCAATTTGGCTTATATCGTCAGCTGCGATACACACGGAGACTGGATCTCACGAAGGGTGATAAGATATTTCTCTGCCGGCTCTCCAGATTTGGGTTTGACCGTCAAAATGGCATGCCCAGACTGTTTCACTATCCTAGTCAGCCATGTGATGAGGTCTAAACACGGTTTCTCACCATGTATGGCTGTCCCACTGAAGTTGGTCTTTTGACCAGAGTGACCTTGCAGCTTTACGCCTGCTTTCTCATTCTCGATGAAGCTGAGTGGTGAGCGCGTAACGATAGTGATAAGTCTTTCCGACGTACTAGGCAGTCTAAAAGGTCAGCCAAGGTCGCACGAGATACATAGAATCGACTCACGATTGGAGGATGATGCGAAACCTGCTCCACAATGAGCTTTGTTTCGCCTCGTCCCGCTACATCGGGCCATACACCAAAGAACTCTTCCCCAAGAACAGGATTGAGAGGTTTCTTCTCTGACCCCATTTTCTCATTTCGTGTCTAATGATGAGCTTCACGACTCATACAAGGTAGTGACGTGTCTACCGAGACAAGGGATGATGTCAGTCTGAATATAGAGAAGCCCGGACTGACCGTGTATTGCCCCTTCAGAGTGCAGATGAACCAACGAAGCACCCTCTCCATCCTGTCGTGGGGTGTCAAGCCATCGGCGATGGCGGCAAATACGAGTGGATGTTCACACCAATATGCTGGAAACTCTGTCAACGATGTGGGAGACAAAATGACTGTGATCAGTCTTGACACTTTGTTAGCTTTTTGGTCAAGCCAGACTCACATGGAGGTGCAGTCATCGAAGACAAGTCACCAGTCATATGGGCCAAGCTCTTGAGAAAAGCCCCCCATCCTGCTCGTTGTTCTACTGGTACCGCGCCGCCTGTCATGTTAGCGATTGTTGCGGCGATAGACAACTGAAGTGTGTAGGACTGCCAGGGGTTTAGAGGGGTTCGACAAAGGATGCGTTCGGGAGGCGAAAGATGGACCGTCAAACTCGCCTTCTGATTGATCCATAATGACTTTCCGAGATGATGGTGGTGAGAAGTCTAGAGGTTTAAGATGTTGAGGACCTTGGTAAGTAAAAAGGTATTTGGGCTCAAGGCGGTGTTTGTCGGACGAGCGAGAGAATATTAGGGGGTTGTAACGTAGCCCGATCGCGGTGAATACAAAGTCGTCTCGGGCCCAATGGTCGATGAACGGATGGAGTGTTGGTTTACGCGGGTTGAGAATGCTGTGTTTTAGGATGGTCCGAGAAGGGATATTGATAGTCAACAAGAGAGAAAGAAGATGGTCAAGAATGGGGGTGGTTTGTATGGTGGGTGGGTGTTGAGGGTGATGACGCAACTGCTCTCTTCTTCCCCTCTCACCGCGCACCTTGCCCCTTATGCCTCATGTCAACTGTACCACCTTATATAACCTCGGGCTCTACCTCTAGAGCCCATCACAGCCTGGTGGTAAAGCTGGAAGCTGCTGCATCCGAGAATGAACGACAAGTCATCCTCACTAGCGAGCTGGACCGATGTCGTATCCTCTTTACCTCTTCGCCTTCGAACGTGAGTCTCCTAGCCATGCTGCGTCAATCCTCCAGAAGGCTCATCAACCGCTACATCTGACTACTCCTGACAGACAGTCCAAAGTGTCCGAAACGCTCATCGTTATTCTGCAATGTGCAATGTTACGACAGAGCACAGATGACAAGCTAGAATGGGCCTTGATCAAGGCTCTTGACTTGGCCGAGACGGGGCAGACGCTTGCAGAGCGACGGATGGGTGAGTCTCTCATGTCACACCTCCGCGAGATCAAGTTGATGACCCACAGGATATATGTTCCTGTCAGAGATAATGCCAAAGGGTCATGAACTAGAGCTGATGCTGGTCAACACCATCCGCAAAGTGAGCTACCTCTTCCGCAATGTTATAACATGAACCCCCACGTTGGCGCCCTGCCAGTGTCATGTGACGGTCAACTGATCCTCAGGATCTAGCCTCCAAGCAAGCCCAGCAAGTCCTCCTAGGCCTTACAATGGTGATTCAGTTCCCTTCGGCGGAGCTTGCCCCAGCTGTGAGCCCCCTACTTACGAGCAAAGACCTCTTGAAGCACAAGAAGTGGGTACTTCGCACCCTCCTCAAACCGTACTAGTCATGCAGACGTATCTTCTATATACTCCCCTTCGCTCACGTACAGTTCCGCCGTCCGTAAACGAACGTTTCTGGCCCTAGGAGCTTTATACCCCAACCCCCCACCCTCAACCCACAAAGGCAAAGCCAAAGCTACAGATCCCCTCACACCGTCTTGCAGCTTCCCTCTGTCAATGGGAAAGGTTGCCAAGCTTCTGTCGACCGAAACCGATTCGAGCAACCAGATCGTTCTAGTCCGAATCATACGTGATATGCTGAAGGTCAGTTCTTTCTTTGACTGTTCGAGCCAAAATTCTAACAGTCAGCACGGTGCGCATTCGATAGCCAGCGAAGAGGAAATATCCTACCTAGTCGAACTAGTCTTGGAAAAGTCCGAGCAGGCGCAAGGAGTAGGGAAATTCGAGAACGTCCGCACTCTGGGAAGTCTGTTGAGTCGGTCGGATCAGGGACTTGAAATCCCCTTTACATGGCTACGAGGAGAATTGCAGAATTCACGACTGACTAGTCGGTCCGATATGGGTGAGCTGCTTGTCTGATCGCATTTTTACACTGCTGAAAACGAAGCTTTCATCTTAGAGGCTTGCGCTCTGCAGGTCGTCAAGACCTCCCCAGATATCATTCCTATCCTTCTCCGACATATCAAAGCGGCTTTACTTCTGTCGAGTACCACTGGAACTTCGAGTTCGAACATGCACGTCTTCGCACTCCGCTGTCTAACTCAACTACCGAAAGAAAGTTGGGATGGCCAATTAGACGAGAACGAAATGGGTATTATCATGCAAGGTCTGGAGCATGTGGACGATACCATTCGTAAACTCGTGAGTGATCATTCTCGTCACGTGGCTGATTTCTTAGACGTTAAGGCTTCTCCTAGATCTGGATCCAACGCTTCTGGACCTGACTTTCGATGGTCTGCTCAAACAGCTAGAAACACACGATTTACCCAATCTTCGAACCCGAAAGTCATCTAATCTTCATAGTGATCCCGACCACACTGGAAAAGGTACACTCGCTACTCGTGCTTTGGAAGTTGCGGAAGTCATGTGTGGAATAGGCACTCGTGAAGCAGAAGTGGAACCATCAGGAGCTCAATATGTTCAGACCGTTTCAAAAATCCTGGTTGCCTATCATGAGGATGGTCCGGAACATCCTTGGGAAGAAGGTATCAGACGTATATTGGAAATGCTCCGTGATGGTGGGTTCTAACCTTGAAGTCTGGGCTGAAGTCAGGTTCTGAATCATTTGCCACTTCATTCACCGCTATCATTGTCGCGCCCGAAGCTACGAACGATAGTGGGGCCACTTTGGCCGTCGTCCGTGCTACTGTCATCTGCGAATATGCCCGTCAACCTCTATCAGATGGGAAGCAGATCCTGAGCACTTTGCTCAAAGACCTGAAGGCATCTCCAGGTGAGTGACAAGTGTTTGTACTCAAGTCGCCATTGTGCTAAGGAAGAGGTTCGGTCCAAGAAGTCATCCTCGTGGCTTTAGTCGCTATTGTGTATCGCATGCCGGCGAATCCTCGACACGAAGGCATTGAGGAGATTATCTCTGTGCTTCAAGATCTACGCGCAGGCTCATCAAAGCATGTGTCAAAGGTACACATTGAAAGCCCCGGTTGATAAGTGCTGATATCTAGCGATGTGGTCAGGTCATGACGGTCTTCCAGACTGAAGGCGCATTAGACCAAGTCTACCGCTCTACCAAGTCGCATTCTGTGAGCTCCCTTTGAAGTCCCTCTCAGTGAACTGACCATCCCCAGCCACCCGATCTACTGGTCGCGATCGTCGAAACCGCATCTTCTCTCTCTCGATCACCCCAGACCTCCCCAATGACATATACTCCTGTCCAACTCACCGCCTCTCGATCTCCCGCCTCGAAGCTGCGTTATGATCCCTACGACGCCCCATCGCTTTCTCCTCCGTTTTCGCCTCACGCACCCCTTTCCCGTACTTCGGTGCCGAGGGCTGCTGATTTACCGAGGAATGGGTCTTCCATCAGGGAAAGTTATGCTTTGATGGACGAACAAGAACAGGAAGAAGTCAGTCAACAGTTGATTCCCCAGGAGAGGTAATGTTCAACGAATGAAACCCACGAGCATTTCTACCTACATATCATCATATCATGCACATGCAACTATCATCATTTCCCAACGGTGAACGCATCAGCTGGACGGGTCAACTGGAATAATCTCTAACTTGTCCCTATGGGTATCTCAAAAATGGTTTGTTTGTATGACACACCGGTCAACTCGGACATGATGGGAGAGCTATTGTGCTGACCTGATTCCTTACAAATTTGTCATTGTGGTATCTGACTGGCTTCTGCAATCTTGGTAGTTGTCAACCATTTTTATACATGGTCATCCGTTCTCCGCAAGAATTCTCAATTCCCGCTTGTAAGCAATTTCGGTTAAGATGAACAGCACACAAGCGGCGCAACACACGCAACCTGTAGTCAGGACCCACTTCTAGTGATATTGTTGGGTTTCCGAAATTTGACTCACCTGAATATATGGCTGGTGAATTATAAGCTTTTGCACCTGGGTCGTCGGATATGATAGCGCCGAAAATGGAAGGTGAGACGAGGATTGAGATGCTACATATACTGAATGTGATTCCTATTGATCGACCCAATTTTCGAGATCGGATATGAGCCGCTCCAGCTGGAAGTAAGGCAACGTAGGCACCTTGAACGATACTTTTTAAATCAGCTTCGTTCCTTGGAATTCATCACGCGGAAAACATCTCAATCACTCGTCGACTGGCATCTCGGAAGGGAGTTATGGGGAAGGGGGTAGAAGGGTGGGAGTGGGACGGAAGATGAAGAGGGGGAGGGAGAAGGGAGAAGGGAGAAAGCGAGAAGTGAACATACCCGTAAACGACAGCAAACACAATGATAGCTGCCGGGGTCAAACATTTGGTCCAGAAGAAACACATGATACCACATGCTGCTACCCCGGCTGCCATGACGATGATTGGACCTATTCTATATATGTCAGGTGATTCTTTACTTGTGTAAGATTTATCTTACAAATCGGCTATATGTCCCGCTGAGAGTCGACCGATTAGGGAGGTACCATTGATGATTGCTACGAGGTACTGCTATCAGTCCCAGGGTATGACTCATCTTCTGGCGACTCTTTCTCTTTCATGAACTCCTCGAGAGACCTGCTGTTTGAGTTGCGAGGATGAAAGGAGATCATGAAGTGAAGATAGGGAGAGAGATATACTCACTCTTAAAGAAGGATCCGTCAAACCTAATCTATCCACATAGGCATTGGCATAATTGACAGGTAAATAAACCCCCGCGGAAGCTAAGAAAGTTCCAATATTGAGTAATATGTAAGGTAAATTCCTTTGAATCCAAGATTGCTGTTTAACAAGTATCTCGATTGTGGAAGGTGTTGGAGGTGGAGGTCGACGAGGAAATGGCCGAACGAGCTGGATTGATCAGTGATCTTTCCATTAATCCTACTTTGACGACCGGATGAGAAAGAGAAATGAGATTGGGAAACGGGGGAATAATCGCGGGGAGGCTGGGGGGAGAACTCACAAGACAACAAACTGACAAAAGACAAAGCATGAGTAATGCTAATGCTCTACATGTCCATGGGAAACCGACTTTATCTAAAAGTGAAGCTGCCATGATTGAATAAACAGATCCACCTAATCCCGAACCCATCGCCATGACTCCAAGTGCCATATTTCGACGACTGAGTGTCAATAATACTACAATACTGACATTTCCGCATACATCAACTTTTGGCCACATGATGCTTTGACATTCCTTGTGATGATCTCCCACTTGTACACGCAAGTAGATAAAGGAGAGATACGTCGACTCACTTGTCAAACCAAGCAGGTACAGAAGCACATACAGGATTGAAAACCAAACCTGTACCAGTCGCAAAGATGATTCCTTGTACCAATATAAATTGCCAATATTGTGTACACCAACCAACACAAAGTTGTGCGATGACAGCTATGACTGAACCAATCACGATCATGTATCTCGTATAACCTCTATCATGTAGTAATCCTGTGGGTAAACCCTATATGTCAATTATGTCTTCTTCAATACTCGCAGACATATCCTCGGATCCTCTCGAAGGTGTATTGAAGCTTCGAAGAGCGAAAGGGGAAGTTGGGTACGGATAAAGAGGGAATAAGGAAACGATAACTTACAAGTAGAAATAATAGACAATATTGTATACCGGCGATCCAACCAATCTGTGAAGCTGAATGTGTTTTTAATAAATCCGATTCGTAATACGCTTGAAAGACCTAACAAACTTCAGCAATACGTTCCTCATCCAAATCAAGAAGAGAAAACACTTACCCCAAACCCCGTGGTAGATCCAAAAGTACAAAGTGTAGCGCAAAAAGCACCACATACAACTGTCCATGCTTGTCTACCATCTTGTTGAGCGGAAGGAATCGATGGAGTCACGTTTAGATCTGGAGAGAGTGATTGAGATGATTCTTCTTTTACATCAATCCCTTTACTTTCGATATCCTCCATGATCGTGCTTCTTGCTCCTCAACACTTTCCTCGGGCTAACCGAATGGGAAAAGGGTTCCTCTCGGTACGTTGTGCACGGTGAAGAGGTTCTTTTTATGTGTAAAACAAGCCGAGAAGAGATTATCCTAGTAAGAACCAAGAGAACAGGAAGAAACAACGACGATCATTCAATGTGTAAGCTGACCTCCACCTTGCTTTCCAACTTGTCTTCAAGGGGGCCCCTTGTGGCTTCCATCCATCCCACAGCCGGCTTGGCAGAGATCGCGGCATTCGCGGCATTGTGGGTCTATCGCTATCTATAGAAAAGGAGAGGTAGCAGTGCTCGGGTGGAGGTGCATTCCGCCTTTTTCCGGCCCGGAGTGTAGTTAGAGGAAGACACGTGATCTTCGGCCGGATCCGAGAATTCCGACGCTTTTCGTATAGCGGCCCTCCCCCCCTATCACTTGTAGAGCAACTATCTCGACGTCATTCTGTGGTCGTTGGTAAAGGGGAAGTTCTGAACAGAGTATCCATTGACAAGCAGAAATTCTCTACAATGCCTGGACTGCTACATACCTGCCACTCCATCTCGGAGTGTGCCTCAGCTTCACCAGCAAGCCAAATCAAAAGTCCTCCATTACGTGTCTCTTTCTCATCAGCGACCTCGTCAAGGGCACATGATCAGCGTGGGTAAGTACTCCGTGACAGTATGTTGGATCATCTGAATATTCTCGGAGTGGAGTAGCATCGTCCCTTTGTCCCCATCTACAGTACTCTACTCCACTAACGTACAGATGAAAAGTGTTGAATATCTACCGTGGATGCAGTACTAAGTATCTTGAATCTCGTGATCACGCTCAAAGTCGACTCAAAAACCCAAAAGGGAATCCCAGCTATTCATCAACTTTCCAAAATCAACTTGATGTAGGAAGAATACTCACTCAAAACCCCATCCATCACTCCATGCAACTCCTGCAGGAGTAGCATCCGGCCAAGTTGCTCCAACTCCCGGGTTCCCGGGAAATCCCGTAACACCCATCTCACCATCAACATCTGACACACCTGTCAAAGCAGATGAACCCGATACCCCTGTGGATCCAGCAGCCGGATCTCCTAACCCAGGCTCCATAGATAATCCAGATGGATTGGTATTCTGCCAAGAACCGAAAAAGGGGAATGCCATGGAATCACGGTATTTATCAGCGTTGCTAAGGCTGCGTCCTGTCGTGTTTGCTTGTGAGGGGGGGATAAGGGGTGGGTTGTTGGGCATTGGATTAGGGTTGAGTTTCAGATTAGTTTTACTTTTATTTGCTGAAAGGACGGAATTGATTTCTTCCCAACATGATTCCGAGGCGTTTGTCTGGATTCGTTGCAGGAGTTCTCGGATATTTTCGTGTTTCAAATCTAGAGGTTTTTCAATGGTCTGAGTGGTGAGTGGTATTCACACATGGATCAATTAAGGAGACGAGGCTCCGACAGCTGACAACCAACGTGACATATAAATGAGGGCGGATGGTGAATGAAGGTTGAAATTGGTCAATGGTTCAACCTGTCGAATAGAGACACCCCACTAACCTCAATCATAACATCCATTATCCTGATAGCACTCTGTATCCTCTCACTGATGACCGTTTGCATACCTCTACGTTTCCCAAAAGATAAAGGTCGAGCGACGAATAAATCACGAGAAGCTATCATCTCTTGTTTTGTCTCTCGCCTTAATTCCGGAGTATACAACGCATGAACGAAGAGGAAAATTATAGAGGAAAGATGATGATAATAGATATAATGACCATTCCGTACAGCTGCTACTATGTTAGTGTTGATTCTTCCTTCGCCTCCGTGTCCCTATTCATTCCCGATACACCAATTGACACAGGTCGAAATAGAACCACGCATCTCACTTGTCATATCATGGAATACAGGGTAAAAGATATGAAAGTGATAGTGAGCAAGGTTTTAAAGGCTATCGAAAATTTGCAACCCACCTTTATGTCCATACTTTCTGAATAAGTTTCGATGAGCATTCAACATTTGTCTAGCTCCCGATAAAACCGATTCTCGTGAATATTCAAACCCCTCCTCCGTATAACTTCTCAAAAACCAAGCTCGATGTAATCTAAGTAATCGTTGGGTATACGAGCTATTCGTCACTGTGAAACCTATACACTCATTATCTGTCATATCTTCCCGAGCAAGTTTCATCGCTAATAATTGATCTAAATCTTGCCTCAATTCTCGGTCGATACGGAGGACAACTGGATAATCTGTTTTGTGCGCCGTGTGAGACACGATATCGCGTAGATGAGTAAGGATACGGAATTGGTGTAATTCGAAAACAACGTCGGTTCTGTTATAGGTGTCAGCAAGGGATATTTTGTGGAGTCAGTCACGAATTTATTCCTCTCGTGAGGTTTGGTGTTATATGGGACAACGGAATGGGAAGGATTGGTACAGAGACAGCAGGAGTAAGGGGCTCACGGTTCGGAAAGGTGTTTCGGTCTGGCATGGGGTAAGAGTAAATCATTACTGGCATAATTCAATGGCTCAGAAGTGTCATAAGATCCTGTTATGATCAATGTCAGATACAAAATATTGACACAAACTGGTACATTATGGCAGAAAGACTCACCCGCTGGAAAAGCATACAACGGTGGCGTCCACCCCGCCCATAAGCAACCCACAAAGGTGTCAAACAATAAGATCATGTAAAACATTCTAGAAGCCATTTGGCGTTTGTAAATAGATGCTCCGGGAGGGAACATTGGATCATCAGGAGGCATGGTGTTGGGATCGTTACCGAGTCGGTGTAGACCGAACGTCTTGCAGATACTGTAGTGAATCAGTCTAACTACCTCTCCCATCGACTTTTGTTCCAAAGCAGTAGGACGGGACAGATTATAACTGGAGAGGGAGCAATAGGCAAAGAAGAAAACCGTACTTACCCAATGGCGATGTCAGGCCAAAGACTTCGAGGACCGACGGTGGACTCAACTATCAAGGGTACTTTTAGTTGGAGCCATCGAGATCTACGCATTGTCAGTGGGACGTCTCTTGCTTCTTCACCTTTCCACGACGTGAAGTTGATTATAAATACTGGACAAAAATACAACCGAAGAGCGACTTGATGACATACACACCAGAATGACACAAAAGAGGATAAACTCACGTGAGACCCATTGTAACCACAATAGCAAACAAAACCCTCATTTGCGGTCTATTGGTCCAATCGGCGCATACGAGTGCCGTCTCTAAACCTTCTGATAGATCATCCGCCAACTCTCCCAGAGCATCCTCTGTCATGTCAATAGGCCAAGCTGAGGTGTCTTCCATTAAAGAATGAGCAGTTGCGCTTGTGACTGATAAAAGTAACGCCAACCAAGCTGGATCGACGAGATGGGCTTGATTCGTATCCACCAGTTCCCAAAATTGACCTAGTTCATGTCTAAAAACAACTTCGTGGATATGGTGTGCTGTGATATCAATGAGTTGCCTCGTTCACCTTTAGAAGAGATTGGGACGGAGGGTGGTAAGTGTCAGCAAAGGGAAGAGAGAAGAGAGAAGAGGAGGGAAGAGAGAAGAAGAGAAAAAGGTAACTGACAGACGACTTGGAAGTCCGCCAAATAATGATCTATCAAAGCTTCCGTTACATCCCTAGGAGGTAAAGAATCTAAAGCCTCTTTCATATTTCTCTTCCATTTCTCTCTGGTAGGTATTGAATGAGGATTCAAAACACTTGGCCAACCTCTTTGCTCCGGCATTGAAAAAGTAGGTTTATTCGCTCCTTTCTGTTGCAAATACATCATTTCTAATTTCGAAAACATTGCATCTGTTTCGCCATTGTGTTTCGATACCGGTGGAGTAGTAGCGGTCGAGCTTTCAGCTTGAAATGTGTTTGAAGAAACGCTAGCTAGAGTTTGAGGTGTCATTTGAGTTTGTGATGAACTTGACAAGACTCGTTCGAGATGTTCGACTCTACTTCTTAATGCTTCCAATTCGTCACGTTCAACATACATGGAAGGTCGAGGTGCAGTACCGTCATCATAAGTACAAGCAGAGGGATCACCTCTTGATACGCAGGTGGAACAGGGGAGTAATTTGTCGCATTTGGTTTTACGATGTTTGCATTCGAGACAAGAGAGAACGGGTCGTTTACGTTTGGGTCGAGGTTCGGAATGTTTGGATTCTCTATCATGGTCGGAAGAAGAGAAAGGAGAGTCTGCCGGGTGCATAGTGTAGAGAGAAGATGACAGAGTATGAGGGGATTAGAGATGCTAGAGTATTATAATTGAACTGAAAATGTACTTATTTTAGGAGGTTGCGCTGGGGTGACAGGTAAGTTACAGTAGGACAGAAAGAGCTCGAGTTTCCGCCGATGACCGAGGTGTCCGCCGATGACGCCGGAGTTCCCGGAGATCGAGATCTCGGCGATCTCCACCGATCTGCCCCGATGCTCCTCTCCTGCATACTGACGTCACCCCACCAGACCTGTACTATCTCTGGCTCTTTCGTACACTCTGACCAAGTCCTCACTCTACAACTTACCCACCCTATCAACATCTTATTCTCTGTGTATTCCCATCGTCCCCACCCCTTCCCGACCCTCACCTCGTCTTTTCCCCCTTCCAAGGTCATATCAACATGCTCCTCTCTGCCCTCGTTGCGACATGTCTTCTGACCCCCTCCTATGCTGCTCCCATCGACGGGCAAGCCCCCCTTTTTGTTCCTACCATACACAACCATCTCGACCCTCTGAAGCGTACGTCTCTTATCATAATCCAATTCATGTGTATTCTTTTGGCTGACGAACAGATCTCTCCGCCATCTCTCCCTTCTATATCCCTTTCGAACAACCTGCTCCACTACCACCTCATTGCTCCCTCACCCGTGTTTCCCTGCTCATCCGACATTCTGCTATCATGGGCAATGACGACGAATTCGAACAAACCATGTCTCCCTTCATCCAAAAAGTCCGCAACATCTCGACATCTGAGCCACATCTTCTCCCTTCCTCCGGCCCTTGGGCCTTTTTACGGCAGTGGGAAACCCCCATCGTAGAGAAGACTTTGGAGGAGATATCACCTCGCGGTCGGAAAGATGCGAAACATCTAGGCAAATACATCAGGAAACAGTATAACTCCCTCTTTCCTCCACGTACCCGTCGGGGGTCAAACAGTCAAACCCCAAAAGAAGGTGTGGAGGGAGTGATAAAAGGTGGAAAACCGAGTTACAAAGTTTGGACGGCTTCCAGTGGGAGGGATATCGATACTGCCAAAGCTTACATCCTCGGTAGCTTCCCCAGTCATCAAAGTGGAGATGATGGTGAGGGAGATGGCGATGTGGTACAATTGATCGAAGTTCCTAATCATGCTAAAGAATGGGAGAAGAGTTTGACACCTCATAAAGCCTGTGATAGGTTCGAAAAGGAGTCTTCGTTGAAGCCTGCGAATCAGTGGTTGGCGGTCTACGCTCCGAGAGTCAGACAGAGATTGAAGAGGTATATTCCGGACTTGGTAGAGAGATTAAATGATCAGGACATTCTGGCTATGCAGATGGTGAGTGACCTCCTCGTCACCTATCTGCCCTCACGTGTCAATATACGGACTCATACAGTACGAAGGGTACCGCGAGGAAAGGGCTACGAAACTGACTCACAGCTTTGTGGCTACGAAACTATCGCTGCCGGCAAATCTCCCTTTTGTCACGTGTTTACCGACTCGGAGTGGCTTGACGTGGAGTATTACTTCGATGTTCGATTCCACTACATGATGGGGTACGGTTCCCCTCTTGCGCCATATTTAGGAATGCCATGGGTTAAAACGGCCAAGCATCTTTTAGAAGGGGAAGGGGACGACGGGAAAGGGGATCATCTTGTATATGAAGGGTCTTTTAAAGGCAAAGGGAAATTACCTGGACCAAGGGTACCTCCTAATGCTACACATAGTCAATTGTGAGTATTGAATATCCATCTTCCTCATGCTCTCCTACTTGCTTGGTCTCATGGTGTAATTACTCTAGGCCCCATCGGGTCATGAAGCTAACTGACAGACTTCATCCCCACTTTACTCACCGTGAATCGCCAGCTTTCGTCTCTACCTTTCTCAACCTCTTCAATTCTACTCAACTACCCCATCCGGCATCGGAAGAACCTCCCCTTGATCGGAGAGTTGACAACCGTCAATGGCGTACATCGCATATTTCCTCTTTTCTGGGTCATATCGCATTAGAGCGATTCAGCTGCAAACCGACGTTTTCAGAGCCCATGTTGTCTTCCCTCAAGAATGAGATAGATGTAGACGAAGATGTAGAAAGTCAGTCGAGTCACAAGAAGAAAGCAGACTACGTCCGTGCGGTGGTCAATGGAAAACATGAGATCATGTATGGATGTCAAGATGGTGTGGAGAATTCGTGCAAGTGGGAGACATTCCGAGAATGGGTGGATAAGAGGGGTGAGAAATGGGGTGATTGGGCGGGAGTATGCAATAAGTAGATCGTATAGATTCTCACAATCATGCATTTTCACCAAGATACCTACGTGCAAAGTGCACATGAGGTAGGGTAGATAGATCTGGAAGAGATTCCGGTAGATCCCAGTCAAGCCGACCGAGGTCAAAGGCCGAGAAAGACGGACAGGGTGGATGTCCGTGTTTCCCTTGGCCGTCGGTCTCAAGGTACTGTCAGTGCATGGCGCGGGTGGTGCTTGCCATGGTGCATATGTAGTAGTACGCGTATATAGTAGTGTAGTGCAACGACAGCATCTGGTAAAGTACTTGATGTAAAGTAGTTCCATCACTCGCTTCAACCGTCCACAATGAAGAGAATGTCCATCTCACTGGATCCTCATGTCACAGACACCCCCCCAAAGTCACTGGTCAAGAACCATCACATGCCCCCCCCCCTCCCTCTCTCCCCCGCCGCGACAAACCTAAGGATCTTTTCCACATCCCTCTCTTGACACTCTCAGCGAATGGCTGATCCCATACAAACTCTTATCATTAGACCGACGTACAACCTTCATCCAGTCAACTACGCCAGAACTGTCATGGTCCATTCACTCACCTCACTTGACATGCCGCCGCTAGCCGCTGTTCTGTCGTGCCGAGTGAGAAGAAGAGATGCCGAATACTTTTCAACGAAAATACACCGATCACCGGGGCGGACCTACTCATACCTACCTCGGTGACGGTTGGTTAGTATATTATTGCGCTTCTTATTGCATCCTTTATACCTCCTCTCTGGTTCTCACTGTTGACTGTTTTTCTTGGGTCGTTCCGGGAGGTTTATCTTGGTGTAGTGAGTGTTCTTTATTTACCTACATTCCCCACCACTGCGTCCAGTTTAAGAAAGGAAAGAATACTGTGAGCGGAATGCCTGAAGATTTTGCGACTCTACGACGTGCCTGATTTTCCATGGTACGAGTAATCTCAACCCTCTTCTTCTGTCCGTACTTGCATCACACATGTTGATCTTCAGTATCCCAAGTTTCCTTACCAACAAGAACCGTCCGAAGAAGAAGAAATATCATAAGCCGTACAAAGTCCGAACAGCGACATAGAATTCTGCAGTAGAAACCCAAGCCAAGATGTCACCTCAAGAAATATTGAACGAAGATGAACTCCGAGCTGAAGAATCGGCAGCTATGGCAGCTGATCCTCTACCACCTCCCGTACCTGATTCAGAAACCACGACACTTCAGAACCAACCACATTCCCCTATAGGTCATACGGTAGTGGAGAAGACCACCACGGAGGAAGATGTAGAGAAAGCCGTACCGAAACCTACACATGTCATGCCGACTTTTCCGGAAGGTGGTTTGAGGGCTTGGTTATGTATAGCAGGAAGTTGGTTAGCGAGTGAGTCCTCAAACATTCTTCTTATAATAGAGGTCGTTCCTCAAGAGGTTAAAGACTGATCAATAGTCTTTGTGACTTTTGGTTATTCAAACACATTTGGAGTGTACGTTCACAACTTCTCCCTCCGGCCTAAACCCTAGTCCGTCAACTGGGCTATTCCTCAGCTAGCTTACCATATCTTTCCACTGCTTCCACTTACCAATGCTACAAAAGAACCAGGCGGTATTTTCCTTGCGTGGATGAAAAACCTCGGTAGCTCGCTTAAATTCTTTTCTGATTTGGTCCGGAGAGGGATGAAACCCGAGTACTGGCTGATGATAAGGTTCCAAGATTACTACCAATTCATCGGTTATCCCGATCAAAGCGCGTCTAACATTTCATGGGTCGGAAGTGTACAATTATTCTTACAATTCTCCATGGGTGCTATAGCAGGACCATTATATGATAAAGGTTATTTTTATCATTTGGTCATTACTGGTAGTGTGATTTATATCGTGGGGTGAGTTGGAACTTACTTTCTTTCTTCTCACTCGTCACTACACTAGAATAAGTGCTAAAACCAAGTCTCTTCATGACTTCTCTCTGCAAGGAATTTTGGCAAACTGTACTTGCCCAGGGTATCTGTGTAGGACTCGGAATAGGATTGTTGTTCTTACCTGCTTTATCTATCATTTCGCATTACTTTCATCGACGTCGTGCGTTGGCTATAGGTATAGCGGTGACTGGGTCGTCAACGGGGGGTGGGTCAATCTTTATTCCTCTTGACTCCCGTCTTCTTCGGTCTTCCACATCCAATCGCCGCCTCATCCTCATCCTTCCTTCCTTCCACAGCATACTCATTCACAACTCACAGACATACTCATCCACTTGCGGCTGATTCTTCGGCAGCGTCACAAAGATCTATACCCCTCTCCCCAAGGATTTTGATACCTCACGATATCGACAACAAGAAGGGAAGAGCTTACCTTCTCAGGCATCTGCCTCCCTATCATGCTCAACAACCTCATCGCTTCCCATGGATTCCGTCACGCCGTTCAATACACCGGTTACCTAATAATGGGCTGTCTATTATTCTCCATCATCCTCATGAAACCTCGTATCCCTCCAAATCCCAACGCACCACCTCGACCATCCCCCAAACAACTTTTCTCTTCCCTTCCTTACACTCTCCTCTGCGCAGCATTATTCTTCATATCCGAAGGGATCTTCTTCCCAATCTTTTATCTTCAAGTTTACGCACAACTACACGGAGTATCTCATACTCTCGTTTTCTACACCTTGGCAATACTCAACGCTGCCTCGGTATTCGGTCGACTCACACCCAACATGTTGGCGGATTCTTTCGGTCCATTAAATTTATCATTCATCATGTCGGTTTGTTCAGGTATCATCATCTGGGCAATGTTCGGTGCGGGTACGAATGGAGGTTTGATAGTCGTCACTATACTCTACGGTTTCTTTTCAGGAGCTTACGTATCAATGATGTCACCTGCACTTATTTCCTTGGCTCATAATTTTGGAGAAATAGGAATGAGGATGGGAATGGGAATGCTAGTAATGTCATTCGCGGCCTTATCGGGAACTCCCATAACCGGCGCTTTATTGGATCGTTATGGATTTTACGCTCCTATCATCTGGAGTGGAGTTTGCGTCCTGGTCGGTTCGGCGTTGACTGCAGCGAGTATCTATTTTCAAATCAGGGTAAAGGGGACATGGAAAGTGTAGGCGGGAGAAGTTTGGTTATTGGAACTTTTCCCTTTACGGCTGAAGGTCGGGTATCAGACATGACGTATGGTGAGTTAGGAGATAAGATAAATAAGCTTCTTTTCCAGGGTGTGATAGAGTGAACATCTTGTGGCGTTAGTGACCATGTGGATTTGCTTTGGGTTCTTGATGAGTGGAGTACGAGTACGAGTACGAGTACTCGTATTGAATATGCCATGCGTTTTTGTATCATGCAACATGCACAACCTCTCATATCTTGTTCGGTTCCCACTTGTCAAGACGATTGAGACAACACGAGGCAATCAAAGAATCACTTTTTTCGTAACCGAAGATCATCGAGGACCCTTATGCTTTTCCTATCTCGACCTTGTCACCATGATGCATGTTGCATGTTGCAATGCCTGTTCCTCACTTATGTCTCGTGGTCTAGCACCGTACGATCCATGTATGCATGTTACCCGCCAGATACAAATGACAGATAGTCACGCGGTGACAAATGTCAAGACTTGTGACAATGCCGTGAAAAACGGAAGAAATGAAAGTAATATCCCGGCCATTTCATCCTTCTTCCGTCTTTTCCTACCTTTACCTCTTTCCCCCTTTCCCCCTTCTCCTCCTCCTCCCTCCTTCCCTCTGTACATCTGCATTGCACCCCTCTATTCTCGTATACTCGCGTGACATTCTTCAACTCTTCAAACTCCAAATTTACATCCCTTCGTTCCTCTTTCTTCGATCGCATCGAGCTCAGCCAATCCCAAAAAAGATCACCAAGGTACCAACTCGGTTCTCCATGTACAATGTGATACCAATCTTCCTTCAAAGTAATCCATCTCCACACAATTCCGATCTATAACAATTCCATCTTGACATACGTTATCATCTCACTTCCGAACCGCATGATCCATATCATACCTTCGCACATAAACCACATGTCCTTGATTCAATCCACCTACGTACCGCGTGTTACTTTTATGACCATTCGTACATCCTTCTTCTTGTCCCTCTCAATCTACTCAGATTCCACCCCTTTAACCACGCTCCACTTACTATCCGCTGATACTGATTTACTGATGAAGATCATAGTATAGTTAGGTTAACCGATAAGACTCACATGCTCAAAAAAAAACATTCACTTATTCATCCAAGTTTCCTTGTCATTGGAGAATGGATGACACATACGTTATGCGCCTTACACCTTACGCCATACGCCTGCAAAGATGTGCGGGATATACGGCTTTTGGGCACGAACGAACAAAGATAGACATGATAGTGATGGATTATCTATCTTCTTTTTGGTGGAGTATTAAATCCCTTTTTTTGATAAATTGGAACATGTGGTCTCCTTGTGGTATAAAGTACATAAGATAAAATCAGACTTTTATTTTCGAAATTATCACCATAAACTGCTGTTCGTTTGTTCATTCCGAGAATCCACTAGAGGAGACTACTTGACGCCATCTTCTTGATTGCCGGTAGTCCGTCACCACCACCACCACCACCACCACCACCATCATCATCATCACCATCAATCGTTAGTCCCGGGAAAACGATTCAACAAACAGGATATAGCGAAATTTAAAAAGATATTTGAGTCGTCTCATCAAGAAAGCTATACAATCGATACTAGTGATTTGAAACTTGACATTCGACACTCAAGAAAAGTCAAAATATCGACATCAAGTCAAATATCAACACCATGTCACACCTCACCATCGATTTCGAATCCGCCCCTGTCCCATCTTCCCTACCGGGTACAGATCAATCCGGTCATGTACTTCATGAAAAACCTATCAAGGAGAAAGACCTCCCAGCTGAGATCACTGTTTCCGGAGCGGTAGATTTGGATTCGGAACAGATACCTACCGAGGAAGAAATGATGAGTTTGAGGAAAGTACCTGGGGGTATGCCGTGAGTTCGAAAGGTTCTGTCATCCCGCATTTCCCTTTTTCATCCTGATACACTCATGTACTGTACATGACTCGACAAGTTTTATTTATATCTTCCACCAGAATACCTTCCTTGTCCAGTTCAGGTCTCCCGAGTTCATCAACCATTTCCTTCCTGATCTCTGATCTCTCTGACTCATGGCGTCAATCATCCATCAGATCGTTCGCACAGACTTCCGTGATACCCAATTTACCTTCAGAACTCATGACTTACCTACAGCTTCGTGTGCATCCTCATGTGTCTAGTTGAGCTTGCTGAGAGAGCGTCATACTACGGTTCAACTTCTCCCTTCAACAACTTTATCAACAACCCTCTGCCTGTCGGAGGGAACGGAGCTGGTGCAGTGGCCAAAGGATCTTTGGGAAAACAAGAATCCGCCGGTGCCTTGGGTCTCGGGTCGAAAGCGGCATCTGGTCTAGTCAATTCTTTTCAATTCTTAGCCTACGTTATACCCATTTGCGGTGGTATTGTGGCCGATACGAAATGGGGTAGGTTCAAAACGATTTGTGTGGGTGTGTTGGTGGGTATCATCTCTCATATTTTATTGGTCATCCCTGCTATTCCATCGGTTTTGAAACATCCCAACGGAGCTTTGGGTTCTTTTATCGTGGCTTTGTATATTCTTTCGTTCGCCAGTGGGTTTATCAAGCCGTGAGTTTGATTTCTTTTTCCAAGTATTCCATTTGTATCTCCTACTCTGTCCTCTTGCGTATCTCCTTCGATCTTCTATCCTCACCATCCTACCTGATAAAATCTCCCTCATCAACCTACCCGCGGACGCAACCTATCCGTCCTCCAATGTATATTGATCTTGAACTCTTTCGAGAGTAGTCCTGATACTGTGGCGAGATATTCTGGCAGAAATCCTGAAAACGCATATGATGAGTCTGTACTTCTTGAACCCCCGCTCATATCTCAGCTGTCTCGGCCCTCTACTTCTAGACAACTCTCCCGTCAGAGTCCCATCCATCATCCACACCAAAAAAGGAGAAAGAGTCATCTTAGATCCTCAAGCCACGGCCGAACGTTACATGTTAATCTTCTACGGCTGTATCAACATCGGAGCTTTTTTCACCATAGCCACTTCCTATACCGAACGTTATGTCGGTTTTTGGCTCACTTTCCTTCTCCCAGGTCTCATCTATCTACTCATGCCTATCATCTTGTATTACTGTAACAAACGTCTTTATAAAGCTCCACCTCAAGGTTCAGTGGTATTGGAAGCTTTCAAAGTTTTCAAAGTTTTGTTGAGTGATGGTGGTTGGAAAAGAATGTGGAAAGGTGGTGATAATTTTTGGAACAGGGCTAAACCAAGTTATATTGAAGCTAGAGATGGTGGTTTGGATATTGATAAAGTGTTTTGGGATGATAAATTTGTGGACGAGTTGAAACAATCTTTACGTGCTTGTCAGGTGAGTTAGCGTTAACTCTTCTTGACATACCACAATCATCACCTCGCAGAACGATTCAATTAGTCTCGTATTCGTTCACTTACATCTTCCACTTGTCGCACAATATTTCATCGCACAATCTTTCATATGTCATCATCCAGTCTCATAGTTCCGCTCTGTATCCCGGTTGGTGTGGTTTATCACTCGCTGATTCACAGGTATTCATGCTCATCCCGGTGTTCACCCTTGCCGATGGTGGTATAGGAAACCAAGTAAGTTCCTAATCTTTCCTCTTCCGACAACATAGGACTAACTCGCTGACACCCCCAGGTAAACTCTATGAGTACCGCCATGACACTCGACGGTGTACCCAACGATCTTTACAACTCCTTCAATTCCCTCGCAATCATAATCGCAACTCCTATTATAACCTACGGCATTTACCCATTCTTTTCCAAAATCGGTCGTCCTGTCAAACCCATGACTCGAATGTGTATAGGTTTCTTACTCGGTGCTATAGGTGCAGCCATCGCAGCTATCGTCCAATGGAGAATTTACAAAACTTCACCTTGTGGTTATTCCGCATCTACATGTGATGCCGGTGTTTCACCCATATCATTATGGTGGCAAGTCCCGATCATCTGTATCCCAGCCGTTGGAGAAATATTCGTTAATCCAGTTTCTTACGAACTCGCTTATACAAGATCACCAGCAAGGATGAAAGGATTAGTATACGCTTTAGCTTTGTTCAACACGGCAGTAGCTTATGCTATTTCTTTAGCTTTGGCGGATGTGATAACGGATCCTTTTTTGATTTGGCCTTGGGTAGCATTGGCAGGAGGTTGTTTCGTTTTGGCTATTTTGATACCTATTTATTGGAAGGATTTGAATGAACCAGTGTCGGCTTTTGCGGATAAAACTAGGATGGAGGGGTTTGAACAACCAAAGGTTTTGTTGGAACATCAACACGAGATGGAACAGACTCGGGCGGATGATGTGGGGGATAAGATTTAGAAGTGGGGGAGGAGTGATGTGTGGAGGAGAATGTCTTCCATCGAGTTTGGTGGTGTGTACTCTCTCTCCGTAGCGACAGATGACATTGTAGGTGGATAGTCCTGGGATGGATGGATGGATGGGTGGTCATTGGTTAGATAGTGGGATAGTTGGGGACGAAGGTAATAGGGTTGTACGTAGCGATCTCTTACTATGCAAAGGGTAGAGTAGTACTTATACATCGATCCTCTCTTTCTGTGCCTACTGTAGCACCTGCCGCTCCTCCCACGTTCCCATCTTTCCCGTTCTTCCTTCCCTACCCCATCCTCCCCGATCCCGAACTCTGTTGTTCCGTCACTTGGCATAGCCTGTCATGGCCATCTGTTCGCTTACTACTTATACGCTTATCGCTTGCATGCTTGATCGCTTGCGCTTGGTCGCCCGACGCCAAAGTGCCACTTTTACATTTAAAGTTTCGGCGCCGGCGGTCCGTGCTGGGCTTGGCCCTCTCTCTCTCTCAATAAACCTTCCTCTATACGTTCTCCCTTCCCCTCCCCCTCCCCCCTCCCCCTATCCATGTACCCCTTAGCACATGTCATACAACAAAGGAAAGAGAAACGAGAATTACAACGGAACGTACACCTTCACTCTCAATCGACCACTTTTACCCCATGTGTCATCCTTGATCATCCGTCAATCCAAAAAAGGACCCAAAGTTTGATTATCACCTTTCACCTTCACCTCTGGGCTGCTGAGTCGAAGAGTTGTGAAAACAAAGGATCACTCGTGATTGAAACCGAAGATCTGAATAAAGGATAAAGGATATAGATCGGAGGGTGAAGAGTGTAAGAGAAAACAGTGGAGAGAGAGATAAAGGATCGATAGGACAGCTGCAGCTGAGTCTTTTTCGAACACGGGGTTTCAACTGCACAAGGGCGTATAAGGTTGGTTTTCAAATCACTCACCAACATTCGTTAAAGAACATTTCTATCCATGGTTTTATCTCTTCACTCGTGTTCTCGCACTTCCCACAGCTTTTGATCTGCCTACAAACGTATAAGAATACTAAGATCACAGGCTGTATTCTTGCTATCGAGTTGAAGACGATCGTGAACAGATTCATCCTAGTGAGTCATCTTAATCATGTCCTTCCCTCACATCTTCTCTCATCGTATCCCGATGCTATACTATCTCTCCCCCAGTCTCGTTCTCCTCGATTTCTCAGTGAATCGTCGACTTCACCATCTCGTCGCTTGCCGTAGACTGATGGGGCGGATCAAATTCATCACATCATATCCCATCCATCACACATTCCATCTCGTCCCCCCCTCTCGCCCCGCTGACTCTTCATCTCTCACGTCTCACTTCTCACCTACGAGTCACACTTTCACACCTTTCACTCTCGTCTCCCACCCCTGATCAGATGCTTCCTTTCACCTCCCCGTGCATCTCGGTCCATCCGTTCCCAAGCACACCTTGACAACCATGCTGATCTCTTAAAGCAGTTAGCTCCCGATTCCCAACTTCCCAACTGAAAAGCTTCAAACTCTCATCAAGCACGAGCATCTCCTTCATATTCTACTACCCCCAACTTTGTGAGATTGACAACACTCCAACACATGTCTCTATCGCCTTCACCAACTATCGATAAAAATCAATTTGTAGACAATCAGACTTCACATCCTAATCATCACGATCATCTCACGCCTGAATCACCTCATCTGAAACTTTTCACATCCAACTCCGCTCGAATTTCTCAAACACCTCCAAAACAACAACATCCCTCTGAACATCATCTCACTTCAACATCACCCATCAAGAGAGCAGTATTGATGCCTGTCGAAATGGCCAACGCGTCGATTTCTCAAGCTGTGGAAGGGGATAGATCAGGTGAAAAGGAAAAGGAAAAGAAAGGTAAAGAAAAGGATAAAGAGGTTCAAGAATATGCCTACGAATATGTACCCGTGGTTCAGGTCAGTCGAAATTCTCAACATTCCACATTCTCTGTCATCTTGGTTCAATCGTACCATTCTAATCCACACTTTGTCCTACCCACATACACCCTTCAGACCACACACCGACCTACACACCTTTGAATGTCCAAAATGAACGGAATGTTGATATACAGAGACGAGAAGGAAGAAACAATATGTGAGTGATACCTTTCGGTCATCTCGTTCATCTTCATTTTCATCCCAATTGTCTGTGTATGACTTCTCTGAATCATTCACTCGGGTAAATCCCACTTTGACATTGAGCTCCCCTTCAGTTTTCTCCTTTATCTCTCCCATTACCTACCCACAATCCTCCATTGCCATTTCACCCACAACCAATCCGTCAACAACAATAAACCTCATATCCCGGTCGATTCACAATCCCATCTTTTCTCCCCTTTTCTAGACCGGGCCACACGCATAAACCACGACCCATTCATCGCCACCATCAACACTGATTGTGTGCTGTGTGTGTGTGTGTCATGTGTACCGCTTAAACTTCTCTTCTCCTGTCGTCCCACTTGATATTCCCCGCGGACATCAATCAAGTTGTGTGCATCACTCCACTGCCGAGATGAACCAGGCACGCCGTCGTCTCTCCTCCTCTTCTCTCTCTCTTCTCCCTCTCCTTCCCCTCCTTCGGAACACCTCCGGTCCCGTCGCATCCATCCTATTTTAGGGGTATCGTATACACTAATCCTTGTTCCACACAACATGAACCAACCCTTGGTGCTCTTTCCCTTTTGCTTCTCAGATGATCCTTCCCTTCTATGAAACCCCCGTGGTCCGTGATCAATAATGAAAGCCTTGCTTCCAACGCCCCCCTTCCATACCCCCAAGCTCAATCTTGCTTCTTGACGACGCATTTCCTACATCTCCACCTTCTTTGTCTTTTCTTTTTTTTCTTTCTTTTGCCACCGACTCTTATGTCTCATCTATCAATACGAACAATGAACCCAGCTGACATGATCCATTATCTTCCCGTATTCTACCCACCTCATAATCCAACTCATCAACTCGTATACATTCCACCAACACCTGCTATTCCTCATACCCCCAATCTCTTGGACACTCCATTATCACCCGGTTCAACTTCTGGTTCGACCTCTCATTCCACTTCTCATTCTCATTCTCATTCTCGTTCACATCTACACCCTCCTGCATCACGTTCACGTTCCAATTCTCGTTCTTCCGCTTCACCTTACATTCGTGATTCGCCAATTTCTCGTAAACCACGAATGACACGGTCACATGGACATTCACATGACCCAACCTCGGCCCAAACTTCTTCATCCTCCATACCTCCATCTCGTTCTGTCGCTTCTTCCGAAACTCCAACATCTCGAATTCGCCCTTTTCATCACACTTTGCCACCGCCATGTATCGCCCGGGACCATCCTTGCGTACTCAGAACGTATGAGATGAGCATGAGACAACAACCTCTCCAGGCTAGGATGTGTGGTGTGGGAGATAAATGTGAGTCATGTGATCCCCTTGTTACCTTGTCTACTCTTTCTGGGTTTGGCGCATCGCCTCAATCTTTGGGCTTCACTCCACCGTCACATCAACGCAGAATAACTTTTCTCACTTGAGAGTGTGACCCCCCTGGCATTGGTTATATCATGCTGGTGTGGCGTACTGTATCTTGTGTATGATTTTTGAAGATAAGATGAGGCTGACAAGTCAGCGGACCGCAGGCCAGTGGATCCCACTCCTATCATTCAGCTCAAGGTCATCGACAAGAACGGCGATGATATCACACATGTGGACCCCCGGACGAGAGACGATGAAGCCGGGAGGAAAGCGTTACGCAGACCTGATCCTGGACCGGGTGGTATGACTTTCATGCAAAGTGAGTCAAAGCCTCTGGTGCTATTTTTTATTTCCCTCACCTCCCTGCCCATCTCTGGTAGAAAGGTCCTCAGATGGCTATTTTGAGAATGCCATGCTGCCAGATCGCAACCGGCGAAGATTAGCATCTGGCTGACTTCAGATCCATACTACTTTCTCTTTGCATGTTTAGTCGGTGGCGACGAACTCGAAGACGAGCTACACGTTATCGACGATGGCAAGACACGGTTCCTGACCGGCACTCCGGTCTCATCTTTGTACCATCTCAAAGATCTGGATAACTCTGATGCGGCGTTCTTTGTATTTCCCGATCTGGGTGTGAGAAAGGAAGGGAGGTACAAGTTGAAGTTGACATTGTTTGAGATTGTCGAGTGAGCTGAGAAACGCTTCTAGCATACAACTCAGCTGACGTCTAGTGCCGAGGTATACTATTGCACAACCATGTACACTTCGACTTTTTCCGTGTATTCTGCCAAGAAATTCCCGGGTATGCAGAGTGAGTCAGAGGATTATCCACCACCATTGCCTAGCTCATCGATCAGAAGCCACAGATTTGTCCAAGTCTTTCGCCGAGCAAGGCCTCAAGATTCGAGTTCGTAAAGATCCCAGACGTGAGTGAATCGCTCTGCAGATGCAATAAAGTATTGACGTAAAAGGTCGCGCAGTCAAAGCTAAACGGAAATCCTCCGCACAATCTGAAGACGAAGATTTGTATTCTAAACGTACTCGCACCACTCCCCTCCCTGGCGGACCAGATGATCCCCGATACATGCATCACTCCCCCGAAGGTTTCTTCCCCCCGGGACACCCTCTTCCTCCGCAATATCCCAACTACCCGTATTCTCAAGGACAAAGAATGCCTCCACCACCGCCTCCGCCATCCGGACATCCGGGTGGGTACGATCATCGTATGTCTCCTTATTACCCTCCATATGGACGTCCTCAATCACAAGCTGGACCACCTAGGAGTAGACATTCCATGCCGCCTGGACCAGAGTATTATTATCCCCCTGGTCAATATGACCGTGCTGGTGGTGCTGTTCCATGGCCACAGGGTCGAGCACCTCCCCCTCCTTCATCTCATCAACCTCCGCCACCTCCTTCGCATCCTTCAGTGCAATCGAGAGGGTTCCCGCAACATGTTACTGCACGACCTAACTCTCCTCGTGGTCAAAGACCCCCATCACCTCCTCAACGAAGCGTTCATTCTCCCACTAGACCAGAATCTCATCATAACATCCAACAGAGAGGTTACTATGATAATCAACCTTCAAGACCAGACCCTCAACATCGGGTTTCATATCATGGTCAAGAACAACCATCTCGACAACTTGATTCGAACACGTTGGAAAGTAGAGAAACGGATCAACAAGAAAGAAGGAAGAGTGAAGATGGTTTATCAGTAGCTGTCAGTGTCACATCGACAAGGGAATTGGGTAGTGCTGGATTACCATTGATATTCAAAGAAGCGGAACCTTCGCCTTTACCCAGTGCGACGAGTTTGAATTCTACGAATTCTTCGGGTCATTCTTCCTTGTCTGGTGGGGTCAATAGTTTGGTGGAAGGGGGAGCTGCGGGAGTGTCGGGGGCGTCGGGGACGGGGGGAGAATCAAGGGATAAAACTCCACCGAGTAATAGGATGAGATTAGGGCATTTGGTGGATTAGTGTGGTTGTTTGGTTGTCGGTCATTATCTTTCCTCTATCATTTCAGTTGAGCTCGTGATGCCTGATAGTGTGGCGGATGTGTACAAGTAAATCCTGCATAATGACATTTTAGTAATATGGTAAGAAGAGATGATCTATTTGATGCAATGTCGTGTACAGTAGGTATTATCTTGATGTTTGTACTTGTCGCATGTCGCAGTTATGGTCGGGTGATCAGGTGGAGTACTTAGAGTTGGTCCTAGGTCCTCTTCCCTATCCCACCTTCTCTTCACTAAGTAACCACTTAATCGTCACTCGTTTAATTGTCACTCATCCGCCTGTCCGTTGGCATCATCATCACTCAGTGGTCCAATGTAGTAGAGTACTATACTAGGTTAACTCGGTGTCGGATGAGCCAGGTGTTTGGTGTTAAGTGGACATATCAAGTGGAGGCAAGTAAGTAGGTGTTACTCCTACGTCCGATCCGGTCGGCCATTGATATCGCACTCGACTTGATATTCTACCTTACCTTTTGAGACATGTGACGGCGTACCGGGGATCGTGTCAACTTACCCATCTCTCTACTCCACTAGGCATATCTCTCAATTAAAAAACCCACCATCTCTCCCTTTCCTTTTAACACAATCCTCACAAACCTCACTTTCTCTCATTCCCCCCAGCCCCCAACTCTGAAAGACTATCCGCCCCTGTCGACTTTCCCGACCCCCGAGTTGTGTAAGGTTAAAGTAAGTGTATCTCCCCACCTGATCCCTTTCGGACTCTGACGCTCTGAAATTGTTTAGATGGAATATGATGATTTCTGCTGGGGCACTCATTTCCTTCCTCGAGGGTAGATGAGGAGGAATGAAGAAGAATAACCAGTTTATGGCTAATCACCCTTAAAAATGGGTTCTTGTCTGATTCATCTCTTCTAGATCACCTCTACAAGTACTCTGGAGGACTCTACTCTACTCGTATATCCAACACCTGACTTTTGGATCGAAGGGTACGAACGAGCATGTTCCTTTATGTCAAGGGTCTACTTGTGAGAATAGAATGAGCTAACTTCAGACATCTCGCATACATCAACGTTGAAAGAATCCAATCTGGAAACTCTCATCCACTCCACCTTTTACATCTGACTCGTTCCCCACTTAAACTCGGAGCTCATCTCATAAACGCTCTAATCTTGTCATATGGATATTTTCACGAAACACGAATTCACGAACCCACAAAATCACAAAAGCACAAACTTACTTACCGAACGTCCTTTCCAAACAATTTGGATATCACTTGAAGAATGTCCCAACAAATCTTCATAGGTCCTTACGTACATTCCATCTCCAAAGATAAGATAGAATACGTACCATTCGCCATCATATCAGTTAGAAAAGGAAAGATCGAATGGATTGAGAAATGTCATCCTTCCCAATTGAAAGAAGTCGGGGAGAAATATGGGATATTGAAATATTTGAACATTCCTACACATACGAAGAAAGACTATGATGAATCGGAGCAAGATGAGCTGGATGCAGAGCACCGTAGACAGGTTTGGCATGAGTCTCACGGGCAAAATGGCTTAGAAGAGGAAGATGGTACTTCACTTGTTTCGACTAGTACGGAAAGAAATATCAATGAGGAGAAGGAGGAGGAGGATTTTATATCACACTTTAGGAAACAAGAAGAGGATGGAGGATTGGAGAAAGTGGAAGTGGAAGTGATAAGGTTAGATAATGACGAATTTCTATGTCCAGGTTTGATTGATACACATACCGTATGTCCATATTCCTTTCCGCAACCAACTCTCCACTATATCAGATCTCTACTGTTTTAGTCAAGACAGGTCTGCACCGAGTTTGCTCGAAATGGGCTGACACCCAGCACGCACCTCAGTTCCCGAACAATGGTCTAGGAGGGAGTTTACAATTACTCGAATGGCTTGATAAACTCACTTTCCCAGAAGAAGAGAAATATGAAGATTTGGATTATGCTAAAAGGGTTTATGAGAGGGTGGTGGAAAGGACTTTGAGATCTGGGGTGAGTGGTTTCACTTTTGTTCATAATGTCCTGCAGGTTGGTTGTTTGAGGTCGACCCTGTGGGTTGTATAATGTGTGATTGTTGATGAGAGGGCGAATATGGCTAGACATCGTATTGTTGGTATGGTTTTGCTGAAAGTGTTTGGTTGATTGTTGCGAGAACTGTTTGACTGACTTTAGACTACCACTTCATGTTACTATGCTACTATTCACGTAGAGGCTAGTGTACTCCTCGCGAGGATTTGCGAGAGAAGGGGTGGGTTCTACTTCACATCTTCAACGACTCCCTCATCCCCCCCCCCCCGGCGGGGGGCCGTTGAGCAAGTATACTCTGGCCCACTGGGATTCAGGCAAATGTTTTAGCACTCTCTGACCCCCAGGACAAAGAGCTTTTATCGGGAAATGCAATATGGATCGAAATTCCCCTCCTACCTATATCGAACCATCTACATCCTCTTCCCTTCAATCAACCCTCGACTTCATTTCCCATTTCCCTTCCCCTTCTTCACCCACTTCCCTAGTCCGTCCCATCCTCACACCGAGATTTGCCATTTCATGTACATCCCCTCTCCTTCACGGTCTCTCCTCCATATCCAACTCTTACTCCCCACCTCTTCCCATCCAAACTCACCTATCTGAGAATCCATCTGAAGTGGAATTAGCCAAAAAGTTATACAACTCTTCGACTTATACCGAGATCTATCACTCTCACGGTCTTTTGAGAAAAGGTACAATACTCGCTCATTGTGTCCATCTGGAACCTTCGGAACGAAACCTAATAGCTGAATGCGGAGCGGGGGTCAGTCATTGTCCAACTAGCAACATTAATCTTCTTTCTGGTTCTTGTCGCGTTGTCGAGTTGTTAGATCAAGGGATACCGGTGGGATTAGGAACAGATTGTTCTGGTGGATATTCCACAGGAGTATTAAATACGTTAAGAGATGCTTCTACCGTATCGCGCTGTTTGGCATTTGGGGAGAAAGGAAGAAGATGGTTATCCGTCGAAGAGTTATTCGCGATGGCTACTTTGGGTGGGGCGGAAGTCTGTGGGTTGGATGATAGGATATGTAATTTTCAAGTTGGAAAAGAGTTTGACGCTTTGAGGATTTGTCCGACAAGCCCTGGGATGTGGGTGGGGGAAGAAGATAAGTTGGTTTGTTCAGATGTAGGTAAAGGGTTCAATGAACAAAGCCACGCTCAGTCATCTCACTTTTCCAAGTCAGAAAATGGTGCAATGGGAGTTAGTGGAATCCATGGGGATGCTAAGGGATGGATGAAAGAATGGGAAGAAAAAGAAAAAGAAAAGTTGAAGAAAAGGTTTGAAAAGTGGTTATGGACGGGTGACGATAGAGATATCGCAGGTGTTTGGGTGAGAGGGAGGAAAGTGGTTTGAAAGTTGTTTGCATGTTGCATGTTGCATGGTAGAACCTCCTCATGAAGAGTCCAAATTCCCACTCATCCATCATCCGTCATCCTTCACACCCTCACAAAAACGAGATTGTCTGGTGGGGTCTTTGTACCATTCGGCCGAAAACTTCCATTTGGCACCAGCATGAAGCTACCGGTCTATCGGGCATTATCTGATTAAAAAAAGGCGATCCCGATTTGACCCTTACCTTGATTCTTAATCAGATTACAATGATACAATCCACACTCATTCCGTCAATCACCGTCCATCCCATCCCATCACTCTATAATCATCTAACCCTACCACCCTTCACACTCTCAACCTCTACCGTCCTCAAGTTCAGATCTACTCCTACGCTCTATCATTCCTCCAGTACATTACATTTGAATCACCGCAAACTAAATCAACACCAACTCAACATCAACCCTCCCACCATCCTACCAAATTTGAACTGAACAATAACTCACATCAAACCTCTCCTTCACTACCTCCCAACTCTATCTACTTGGGATATTCTCCAAACTTTCCGCTGAATACCAATAGTGACTAGTAGGATTATCAAATGGTCAACATGAAACAAGACTCTGAACACACTGTTGTGATACTCGGCGCTGCGTACGGTGGGAGAAGATGTGCTCAGACTTTAGCTCAGATCTTACCTCCCGGTTGGAGATTAGTGGTCATTGATAGGAATACACATTTTAATCGTTAGTTTCTTCTACTTCTTCACTCTTCATTCTCATTCCTCCATTCTCCCCTTCACTTCACTCACTTCTACGCTTCCCCACTTCCCTGCACCATTGACCATTCATTTCTTTTTTATGAAAGCTCTTTCATTCGTTTTTTCTCTTTCACTATGACTCTCTATTCCTGTCACCACTTGACTTTCTCTTTTCTCTCGATGTGACTTGTAGCATCACCCTGGATTGAACTAAGACTTTGAAATCCCTAATCACCAGACGCATATGTTTTCCCACGTTATACTGTCCTATCTGTCCACGCTCCAAAAGCTTTCGTACCCTATATCAAATCTTTTCTTCCAGGTCCATTCGTCGTCGAATCTGCTGAACTTACCCAACCTGTCCAATCTACTCAGCCCGTTCAATCCACCCAATCTACTCAACATACTCAGCCTGTTCAATCAACTCAATATACTCTATCTGGCCAAAACATCACTCCTGCAACACAACCTACCTCAAACACCTCACCCACAGAGTCTGAGAGATTGACCTCTCCCCCAACACCCCAGGCCGACGGCACTTCCACGTCCACCCCCGTCAAAGTAGATACATCTCCATCAACGCATTCCACTCCGACAGGCCCCACCAAGGGGACCAGGACTGAGGAGAATACACAAGGAGAAAGACGAGAGGAACGTATTTGGATACATGGTCTAGTCACTTCTCTCACTCGTGATACTGTAACATTTACCAGATTATCAGCTAACGGTCCTTCTTATCCTTCCTCTGATCTGATTCCCCCGACACATTCAACCAATTCCCATCCCCCCTCTTCCTCTCTAAACAAAAACAACAGCATCGCAGAAACAAGTAACGGGGAGTACTGCAACTCCAAGAATGTTGGTGGTAGTGACAAGGAGAGCTGTAGAGATGTGCTTGGAGAAGAAACTATTCATTTCGATTACCTAGTCTACGCCCTAGGTGCCACTCTCCCCGCTCCGGTGGACGTATGGGGTGGTGAATTACATCCTCAAATAGGACATCAGGACGAACCGTTGGGTCATAAGATCAGAGGAGTTAGGTTTATGGAAGCTCAGGCGCAAGTTTATAAGAAAGTAAAGAGTGTTATTGTTGTTGGAGGGGGAGCGTTGGGTATACGTGAATACATCCATTTATTACTCATGACCACTCCACCCAGCTACTGCTCTCCCTCACCCTTCTCAGCTTCTCCTCTCAGCTACTCCTCTCAGCCACTCCTCTCAGCTACGTCACGCTCCACCGATTCTTTCCGAGACATTCTAGTTGGATCAATGAACAAGCCACGCTGATGAAAGAAACCGCCACGGACATCAAAGATGTTTACCCCGATAAAGAGGTCACTTTGGTTCATTCTCGAGCTCAGCTATTACCCATCTACCCTATGGAGATGCATGAAGGGAGTGAGTGGCGCAGCCCCTTTGAACGCCCTCAAATATCCATATTCCATTCCCACTTGCACCCTAGTCACTTCACTTCCCTCCCACTCCTCATATCATCCCTTACTTATTACTGAGCCTTGCCCTCAAGTATCGGCAGAAATAACATTCTTCACAAATGGAGCATATGGTATAGCATATGGCACACTTCCAACATACGTTCCCACTAAATTCAGTCCTTCGAAACTTGATCAAGATGAACATCCGAGTCATCCTCTCTGAAAGAGTCATCGAATGGCCTCTTCATCCCGGTATCCCATCCACCCCCAATTCGAAAACTATCCGTACCACCTCCGGTAGAACCCTCACATCCGATCTGGTCCTAGTCTGTACGGGTCAAAAACCCGCCACGACTCTCATGTCCTCTCTCCTCCCCGAAAGCGTGGATGAGAAAACAGGTAGGATCCGAGTGCGACCCACGATGCAACTAGAGAGGATAGGATGGGAGAACTGGTTTGCCATTGGGGATTGTGCGGAAACTGGGTCCATACAAGCGGGTCATGTCGCTTGGTGGCAGGGTATGATAGCGGCTAGGAATGTGGTAAGGTTGATCAAAGGGGAAGGGAATTTGGAGGTTTATGAGAAACATGGACCTGCCATAAAGGTTACGTTGGGATTGGTGGGTTGTTCGAAACATCATCTTCTTTCACTTACCCCATCCCTCAAGAACCCTTGTCATAAGCTGGGTCTTCCTTCACTGTCCGCCAGTAATGGACGTACTGTACACCAGATAATTTACGTGCTTCTTCCTGTGTTATGCGGCTGAAAGAAGGATGGTGTGTGATGGCGAGAGTGGGAATGAGCTGACAGAAGAATAACGCCATCATCTCCAATTCTGACGGAGTGCGTGAGACAGAAGAAGGTGTGGAAGATCTTCACGCGGACATGTTATGGTGAGTCGACTCGTTTCGCTTTTCTTTTGACCCAGACTGTCTGTCAATGCATTCTCTATTATCTAATCTCATTTAAAGCTACAGGTCCAACATGAATGATAGGATAGCTGCCTGAACTCGTGAGTAATTGAAGAACTGACCGACAGGAAGGCTCACGGTGTGGGAGATTTGCCATATAGTGCTTGACTCTTTGCCGGTATATATCTTCACCGATCACCGATCACTAGTGTGTCTCGTGGGGAACAATATGTGATTGAGGCTGGTCCCTAGAGTGATATTGATTTGGTAGAAGGAAGATAGAGTGATTGATTGGATTGTTGATTGCTATGAACAATGTAGTTATCTCCAGCATCACATGTAATTTTTTTCTCTCTCTCTCTCTCTCTCCCTGTGTCTTCGATCTCGTGCAATGTACAACCCAAGATAGTAGTTTAGTACCCCCATGGATAAACTGCAACTCTTTCTTCTTCCCCGTCCCTGTTCATTACCATAGCAGCACAGTCCGATCAACAGTCACACGCCCCGTATCGGTCAAATATTACCGGCGGCAACTCGGTTATCTTCGCGTTGCGGGTAACATTTCTCATCTTTTTTCCGGATTCTTCCTTGCCGCCCACCTCTCGCCCCTCACCCAACATCATCCCTTCCACCCACCCTTCTCACGCCTTTCCCAAGTTTCACCCTACATTCCGCTTATCCCCTATCCCACCCTTTCTCCCGTCATACTTGCTGGGGAAAGAGTGAAGTGACTTGTACTCTAAGAAAAACAAGACGCACGGAGTGGCGAACTCACCGGTTAAGCAAGATAACCGAACTGCCGAACCGGGCCCCATCAACCCGGTCCCATCGTTGAAAAATTCATATCTCCGGTATCTTCCGCCCCACCACATTCTTATCGTTTCCCTCTTTACACTTCCACCCTCGAGGTATCCTCAAGGTGTCTTGCCCTAACAATCTCCAATAGATAACAAGACGGTGGGAAGAACGTGAGCTATAGGTCGGAGATGACAACATAAGATAGAGGAAGAAATCGTGAGGTTTGTTTTTCAGAATCTAGGCCAGGCGAAAGACTTATAATAGTGTAACCTCCTCCGGATTATCCCAATTTCGCCAAAATAGCCGCTCATCCCCCACACCTTACACCGGTAAAGTCAACACCGTACACCGGAACACTCCAACCTCATCTTTTAACGATCGGCTAGGTTGTATATCATCATTGCCGTCCATCTCATAACCACCTGCAGCTCAACAAAAATACCAACAACTTTCACCTTTGCTCCATCTCAACGGCCAATCTTCAAAGTTGTCGGACGTTTTCACTCACCATACCAACCTTATCATCGAGGCGAATATCAACAAGTGAGAAAAGGTTCGGAAAAAGATAATCAATCACCCACTCGGAGACTCTGTACCAACTGTTATAATCCAATCGGGAGAAGAAGGTCTTGGGGAAATTGACGAAGATGGAATTCGAATCTGAAAAGGAGAAAAAAATGTTACCAATGGTGGCACTGGCCGGTTGGCCAGAACCTTTATTCGTAGCTCTTGATCAAGAAGCTTGGGAGAAGAGTAGAAAATCTAATAATTCTTCACCTCTCTCAACACCGATATCAACTACTTCGGATAATTCTTTATCGATACTTTCCACCTCTTCCTCAGTTCTCACCACTTCCACATCCCCTTCATTCGTCATCAAATCTAAACCTTCCGCTATTGACTCTTCGATAAAACACTCATCATATTTCACTTTTCATCCTTCATCAAAACCTTCATCAACCTTAACAAAACCACCATCTTCCACACCTCAGTCGCCACCTCCCACGACTTTCTCAAGATCGCCAACAAACAAGAACCCTTCCAATTTGATCATTTCGAAATCAAATCCCCGTTCTACCCATAAAGTCAGATTCGCACCTACTTCCACAAAAACTCATACGTCTTCTACTCCCAGATCACTTTTAGCTCCCACTTGGTCAGAATATCCTTTCAGACCTACCCGACCTCCTGCTCCCGTCTCCGCTAAAATCCCTATCGTATCCCACTCTCAAATTACACCGTATTCTTCATCATCCAAATCCACGCCGCCGAATAGTACACAACCCTCTTCTTCGACATCTCACCTCCCAGTCGCGCCACCCCACCCCACGTCTCAAACCCAGAAGGGACGACCCAATCAACGGTCTCAGGAAACGATGTCGACGGGAGCTATACCACCGTCGACTTCCTTGTCAACCCATGGTGGAGAAGAAAAGAGCGGAGTATCTGTGTCAGAGAAGAACATGAAGTCAGATGAAGACCCTAGCATACCTATCCCTCCCAGAGAGAGCATATTCTCTTCTTCATGCGCCTACTCTGCCCATTCACCATCAGGATGTCAAATCCCCGGTCATCCCAATTGTTGGTCTGTCCATCCTCCTTCTTCTCCTCAGAGCCAAAAGGTTTCATCAGTCAAACCCAAAGACATTCTCACGCAATTCAAGATTCCCTTTTTGCCTCAAAAGAAATCATCCCCGAATGACAGATTCACAAGCTCCGTTTCTTCCATGTCCGCCTCTACTCACATCACAAAACCAATGTCCCAGACGCCCGCCGAACAGCCGCTCAAGGATGACTATGTTCGTATAGCATCCGGATCGAGGTCGAAAAGGGAAGTTTACCCTTCGACCTTCTCTCCACCAGATAAGCGCCGACGGGTCGACCGATCGACTGTGACTGACGTCGGTCGGGACTCTCTCGTAGGACACAGTGATCGTCCTATCAAGAATGGGAACAATGTGGGATATGGGAATGGAGGGGAAGTAATAATTGGGGAAGAAAGAGTAATAGGAAGTAATGAGGTAGGCTCGGGGGATAATGAAGAGGAATCGGAAAAAAGACGGAAAGGAGGACAAGACGGGGAAGGGAAAAAGAAAGAAACTTCTCATACCCCTTATCCTCTCAGTATCGCCACTGCTTCTCTTCGAACGTCCATCCCGATCCGACCTGCTAGCACCATTCCAGTTTCTGAGAAGACGACGGTGATGCGTTCTCGAAATACACGTTGATCATGATCACGGACATTCGAAGAGAGAGTTGGTCAGGACAAGCATTGAATCTATTACTCTAGTTGATTTGAAGTAATGATAATCACTTGAAATCTAAAACCATCCCGCTCAAATGTTAACATGCATGTGCATCTCGCTCTACTTTTGTTTCAACTCCTATCGTATCCCGCTGGTCGCTTGGCAGTGTCTAGTTTCACTATGTATGTTATACCCTTAAATAGACACTATATACTGACGTGTGATATTGTACCAATGCCCTTAAAATTCCCATTGATCCCATTCCCAAACATACCTTCATCTGAGATCCCGTGACGAATGATTATGCATCCAATGACGGATCATGTGCATTCGATAGACGGATATACGGAGACATGATCAGAAAGTCCACAAAGTCGATACTACCTCTCCCGATCTTGTCGGATTGGTGGAAAGATCGTGGGTCGGGGGTGTTGAGGAAGGATCCATCGAGTCGGTCGAGACAACTTGTGGATTCATGGATTTGGAAGAAGGGAACAAAGAAGATAAAGTATCATTCTCCATTTCGAAAGAAATAGCGGGTGCATGACGTAGTTTACGTGAAAGTTCAGTATTGAACAACTACATTGTCAGTTCTGATCTTATCATCAAATGAATATATCAAACGTGGGAAGAATGTCCCGATTCTTCAAACGATTTACAATAGATGGAATGACCATATCAAAGTCATTGGGATGGAGTGGGAGTTGAATACGTAGGAGATATAGATTGATCCATTAATGAACCTCTTGAGAATTACATACTCAACGACAAGAAGATGAAGTGAACAGATAATCGTCATAAGAAAGTACAGGAGATACTTTGGAAGGGATGGAAGTGATACTTGATTTTGGGGGATGAAAAGGCATACAAAAATCATACGGAGTTGATAAAAATAGACCTTTAAAAGAATATAATCATGCCGTATTCGTAGCGTATATCTCGAGAGAGAGAGAGAGGAAAGAAGGATCAAGGAGAATAAAGAAAGAAAGGGTGAAACTTCAACTCACAGTCGTATACCCATGATCTATGAAATCCTCTAAATCGTATTCCGGTCTAGTAAATACTTCCCCGAAAACTTTACTCAATGTTGATATACTACTCAAATAATGTTTTTGTAATGCTGCTAATTCCCATAATGAAGAATCTATCGCTTTAGAATTAAAAGGTGATTGTTCCGATGGATCGTATGGGTCTACACGTTAGTTTCTCTTCTCATTTATCTCTTTTACCATTACGACCCTTATCTAAATTCCTATAGGATGTTGTGTCACTAGAATGTATCTCAAAATGGGTGAAACAGAAACACGAAGGATTAAGTCCTGTACAGATGTATATCTTTGAGGATGTGAGAGGGTTGAATTATGTTATGAGACCAATACCACTTTCATGTTCAAGTTCACAAGACATGTATTGAGTAAGTTCTGCATGACGAGTCACCGATCTTATATGAGATGTCAAGACGGAGAAGGGACGGAATCGACTCACCTGTCAATTCCGACAACTCATGTCGCTGTATCATGATCATACATCCTGGATGACGTTTGAACAAGTTGTAAATGAATGGAACGATCATGATTATTCCTGCTGGTGGTGAGAACAAGGATAGTTGAGCTAGACGTTTGATGAAAGATGCTATCATTGTCGCGGGGAGTAGACTGGGGTCAGCGGGATCCCAGTATGTCTGTCATGACCTCCCTCAGCTGCTCCACCGAGGGTCATAACCCACGGTGGAACTAGGTGACGGGTGTGTTTACTCGATTCTCATCGGCAGCCATGAAAAGGGGAAGACAGAAAAGACAGAGAGAGAGAGAGATGTGGGGGATGTGACGTCAAAACTGCTTGGGATGTATGGACGAATGAAGACTAGGGCAACTCACGGAGACGCCAAGAATGTATCTAGCAGACGAAAGAACCTCGCCCGATATTTGACATGCAAAACTTCATTATCCAGCATACCGTAAAGACGTTTGTAAAATTGAGGATAATCACTGTATATCAGCTTCAACTTTTTTCACTTGTCAAGCAGTGATGACCCCCGACAGAAATGTCATATCATCGAGCGTCGACGATATGCAGTTGAATTGACCTGCGATCGTGGGAACATAAGGTAGTTTTACTGAGTGACAGGGAAGCGGGCCAAGGGTATATCTAAGAGAGGGAGTTTACAAAACCAACGCACAGATTATACTTTGTCATCAAAACATACAACCCGTTCATTGCTAACATACCCTCCACCCCTCCCTTATCTACCAAAGCACCTAACCAATCCGCCACTCTAACCCTTCTTTCCGCTTTCATATGACCTAATATCCCCTTTTCTCCATGTAATCCCACCAACACCTTTCTCACCCATCCGTCGTCCAGAGATAAAGTCAGTACGGTCTCCCACAATGATGTATAGACCAATTGGTGCGATGGGATGGAATAAATGGAAGGGTGAATCGATAATTGAGATGTACGCTGTCGAGGGCGTTTACCAAGCACGGTATTCTCTGTTGAAGAGTCAGAGTCGGAGGAAGAATAATAGTCCATCCATGAAGGGTTTGTATCGACCGCTGAATCTTTTTTGACTTTCTTCTTGGGTTGAGATGTGGGTTGTTTCTTCTCTTTTGATGTGACTGGTTTAGGTTGGGGTGGTTGTTTCGAAGGAGGTTGAGAGAAGGCTGGGATGTAAAAAGCGTTGATGTGTTCCGGTAATGTAGGAAGGTTTTTGAGGGGTAGTAATTGAGCCAAAAGGTTCCCAGGATGAGGTATAGACTGACTCTCTAGATGGCGTCTATACATTAGCTGCGATACTGTTGGTGAAGAGTCACTAAAGGAGCGTAGAGCTTTTCTTGTGATTTGGAAGACTCACTTGGTCTCTCGGAAGAAGATCCATCGAAGATCATCGTACTTTGCCCAATAATCAGCGATCGCACTAATAACATCCTCCGATAATACCCCATCTTCCAGTTCAACCTGATTCTCCTGCTTCACCTCTCCAGCTGCAGCTCCGCGGGGTGAAGCCACAGGGTTGAAAAAGGCATCAAGCAGCAGCCGGAAGTAAGGAAGATGAACTATCGCTCCTTCTTGGATTTGTGAGAGTGACGAAGAGAGAGGAGGGAGGAGGGCGAAGAGTAATTTGACCGCACTGGTCTTCCCTGTCAGCTTTTTCACCATCTTCACGCAGTGAGAGTTGAGAACATGACCCACCCTAAGAGATCCCTCTGTATCCCGTAGTAGCCCAGATATCAATTTGACATATTCGATCAATCGATCTCTCGTCCATACTGCCACCTCCCTACTCTCATCTTCTCGGTCGTCGTTATCCTCCGCAACAACTGTTCGCGTGAAGGAGAGCGAGCCTCGGATAGAGCCAACTAATCCCTCCGCTATGTAAACCACGAAGACACGATGCAAAGCCCATATAGCCTTGTGAACGACTCGAGGGTCATCTTTGGAACCCAAAGCTAGAAGGGAGAGAAGAAGGTTAGGGTTGTAAGGCTTGACCAAGAGCTGGCTCTCGAGTGGTTTGACCTGTTCCAAGAGAGCCGAGGTTGATGACCCCGCAGTACTTTTGAGCTTTGGGAGGGTCGTCTTGACCATGTCGAATGAGAAGAATACGATTCAAAGTATGTTAACTTACAGGTGAAAGAGAAGAATTGAAATCTTGGTAGATTGATGAGTGATAAGCTTTTGTGGTGAGAAATTATGACGTGGGGAACTGGGGGGAGGACCGATTCCTTCACCTTCCCCCCTATCTCTCGACCTCCACTCTACATCTCTACTACTCTCTTCTTCTCATAGGTATATCAACCCATACATCCCAATTCTCATCCCTTTCGCACTCATCTAGACCTACAACGACACACCCACAAACCATGCCAGCAGCAAGATCATCCAGTGGCAACGGCCCCTCACACCCCGGTTCAGCTTCGGCTTCTCGACCCGGGTCCACAAAGCCAGGTACTCCTTCTCAGTCTCCAGCGGCGAATTCGAGTTTGATACTCAGAAAGCAGCTCTTAGGTGAGTCAGAGTCCTCTGGTATACCTCTTGATCTCTCCATACACACCGAGGCGGCAGATGGTTACTTTTGAACGGAAGCGACAAAATGGGACTTGAATACGAGTGCAAGGTGATGGCCGGGGATGCAGGTGAATCAGGATCATCGTGAAGCATGAGAAGCATGAGAAGCATGAGAACAAACATGACTGACTGGTAGATTTCCAGAAGAACCCTGTCGATGGATTCTCCGCTGGCTTGGTGGATGAGAGTAACATGTTGGAATGGCAGATTGTCATCATTGGGTGAGTTTCTTACTTCTTCCTCTCAAAGACTGATGACTTTATATACTCGTCCTGCAATTTGATTCATCCTCGTCAATACTACCTGTTTGCTAACGTGCCAGTCCAGCAGACACATTATACGAAGGAGCCATTCTCAAAGCTCGTCTCATTTTCCCTCCTGTATGTTCTTCCCTTCGCAGTTCTTCCTTTCTCTCCACTTTACTATCCCCATCCCTATCTCCCTTTTACTTCATCCCGGATCATTGCCTACATGTGTATAACATGAGGATTCAGAAATGCCCTTTCATACCCAAGTCACCTCACAGTCACGCCATCCTCAAATACGCATGATACCTTTGCGCAAGGAGGCCAGTGAGCTCTGACCATATTTGCACAAAGGATCATGTCGGTGAACAATCCCATGACGTTTGAGCAGAGATATCTGACATGATGAATCGAAAGTGGCTAACGAGCTAGGAATTCCCCCTCTTACCACCAAAAATGATATTCGATACGGAGATGTGGCATCCGAATAGTGAGTCGATCCTTACATGTCACTCTGAATGCAGGTTGACGAGTAGTATATCACAAAGGTGACAAAAAGGGAGAAGTGTGTGTATCGATCTTGGTAAGTCTCAATATTTCCCTTTTCGTGAATATCTTTCACATGGAAATGTGGGACAAGTCATCACCTGATTCCTTTCTGAAAGATGACCCTTGAAAGTCTTCACTCGTGCAAGCCGTGGCTGACGTACAGCACGCGCCAGGTGAGGACGAATGGGGATACGAAGATGCTGGTGAGAGATGGTTACCCGTGCATACGGTGGAGAGTGTTGTGAGTGACAGTGTCGTTTTCGGATCATCCCTTTACATAACTTTTCCTTCCTGGTGTGTTCATACCACATCCGTCAGTCACGATCCTTCGAATATGCCACCTTGAACACGAAGCGACAGTTGCCAATCTGACATGCAGCTTGTCTCTGTCATCTCGCTCCTTTCCCAAGAAGTCCCAGATCTCAGCTCTCCAGCAAACGTCGACGCCGCTAAAGAAGTCCGAGATGATTTCCCATGTGCGTGATTTTGTTTGTCTTCATGTCCCCTTACAAGGTTCCCTCTCCGGCTGCGTACCCTCAGACCATTAATGCTACCCACGGTTGTTTCTAAAAATATCTTGCATAACCCATCTCGCTCGTTGACCTCCATCCTCCAGTCCCCTCGCCTACATCCTTCACACGAAAGCTCTGTGTCTTTGCCGCTGGTGCCTTTCCTGACCTTCTTTGCACTGTTCCCTCGTCCTAGTAGTAACCTTGTGTGTCGTATGCTCATCCACCCGTCTCGCGCGAATCGACTGACTCTCAGCATACAAGAAAAAGGTGAAAAGACTAGCACGTCGATCTGCAGAAGAAGCTTACGACTAATCTCTTTCCTTCTCTTCCCTTCTCTCTCACTCATGTCTCGCCCTCATGTCATGTGATCTTATGCATGTGTATATCCAAGGATCTATCTTTACTATCATCCGTCAGCCCACTGTCACCCGATAAACGACCGCACGAGGATCCCCCCCCTTGCTTTTGCCTGCCTCAACACAGTCACGTCGATTCAACCCTCAAGAGAGGTTTGTAATAGTCATCTCGAAAATCAGACAGAAATGGATGATTGTCACATTGTGAGTTGAGTACTAAAAGAAGGTCATAATCGTACAAGAACAATCAAAGACTGCTTCCTTGAATGACACCCGACGGTTGATTGGAGTAAAGTTGCACTTTGATAAATCACTTGGATAAATTACCCCATTCGACTAGTAAACCAAATTGGTGCTACAGTATGTGGATATTGCCCCGTGAGGTAGATATGTAATTGACTGTTTAGAGTTGTTGAAATACCTCAATGGACCAATTGGGGAAAAGTGAATATGTCATACAACTTTTATCTAACGTATTCGGACATAAACTGTTTATACTTGTTTTCTTCTACCTCAATTCATTTTTTAATTTTTCCTTCTTGTTACTTCTTTATCCCCCCTCAACCTCTATTCTGCGTTCATCTCTTACATCTCTCATTTTCCCCTACCTCCCCATCTTCCCTTCTTTCCATCTTCCCCACTTCCCCACTTCCCTAGTTCCCTTCTTGACATTTGACATTTAACATTTGACGCTCGACCTTTTTCACACTACTCGTATTCACTTCCTATCACTTCCCAACTTCCCCTACATACTCTCATGTACCTCCTTCAACATAAACCTCCCGTTTTGTCCCCAGGGTGATGTCTTAAACCACCACTCTTCGCAATAATGTGACATGACCTTTCACTCCATCCACCCTCCCTTCTTCCCAGTATGCGTATACCACTTTTACCACAACCCATCATCTCCCTCGACCTCTATAACCTCTATACCCTGATCCTGAACCTGGACCAAATCCAAATCCGGATCCTCTTCTATATCCCCCACCCAAGTTTCTCTCCCCAGGACCGAAAGATCTTCCTTCAGTATAACTCAAAGTATTCTTGTCGTTCTTATATTCAGAAGAAGTATAATTGCCAATTCCATTCTTTTCCAATCTATCTTCAGCCGGATATCTCCCCGGTTCACTCGGACCAGTTCTTGATTCAGATGAACCATACCTCCCCGGTTCACTCTGACCATTTCTCGATTCGACCGAACCATACCTCCCTGATTCATTCGGACCATTTCTTATTTCAAATGAATTACCCCTCCCATCACCATAACTTCTAGGTTCGATAGGAAACCTTCTTTCATCTCTTTCCAACCTACCTTCACCTAAATTCATTCTTCCTTCCGCCAAACCATTATATCCGACTTGTCTCGGTTCTACCATGGTCAATTCTGGAGATTTGGATGCGTATCCTCCGTTTTGTCCAGAGGGGTAAGAGGAGACATTCCCATTTGACCCATTGGGTCCATTTCCAAAGCTGGAAGGATCTCTAGCATCACCAATGGGATCTCTAGAACCGGATGGAATAGCCCCAGACATATCTCTAGGTCCAGAAGGAACACCAGAACCACCAGAATAAGCCGTCGGTCCAGGTGCAAGAGATACATAACCCCTCGGAGCCGTAGGAGGTGGGATCGATCCTGCTCTAGGTGACATGGGCCATTTCGAAGGACCTTTAGGACCTCTAGGAGCAGTAGGAGGAACCTTGTTCATGGAAATATCACCCGATCTAGATCCTTGATCATCAGACACTGATCTTCTTGAACCAGGTCCGGAAACCTCAGTGATTCTGTTCGTCTGATTCTCTAATCCAACCCGATGAGGAGGAGGATCCCTCTTATCCAACAAAGGTGGCATGGGAGGTAATGAAGAAGAGATAGAGGAGGTCCTCATTGGACTTTTAGGTATCAAAGATGATGATCGAGGTGGAAGTTCTACTGGAGTTTTATCTGGCGTTCCAGGGAGGTCACGAGGTGTTGGAAATGTTGATTGAGGTGATCGAGTGATAGTTGGTTGACCTGATGGGTTATTCATTTGATTGGGTTGGGTTGGAGGTATGTTTGGAGGTATGTATGTAGGTTGGTTAGGTTGAGTTGGAGGTATGTACATAGGTTGGTTAGGTTGAGTCGTTGATACAGGCTGAAATTGATTAAGTGGTGCGGTGTTTGGAGTGAAAGAAAGTGAAATTTGGTTCGTCATAGGAATAGAGTTTTGTCTAGGAACGAAAGAAGAGCTAATTCTTGGAACGTAAGATTTCGATGTTGGGCCAGGCGTATTTGGAGCTGTATGAGATAAAGGTTGAGATGTGAAATAACCTTCTTTGATATTTCCAGGAGTAGCAGGAGTGTTGGATGTACTTTGACCGAAAGACGTATTGACAGTGGATGATCCTTGTGCAAACGTAGGTCGAGAAGGTAAGAAATCCATAAAATTTCTTCTACCTCCTATTCCTGGTGCATCAGGAGTGGGAGGAGCGGGACGATTCGCGTTTTCTTCCAAGTTGGGAGCAGAAATAGGGTTCACATGAGTTGGACCGGTATCTTTCTTGATTTTATGAGTTTTCAAATATTCAATAATACTGATTTTCTTCGGGGGATCAAGAAGGGGTTCTGGGACTGGTTCGCGTTTCCCAACTTGAAGTTCTCCTTTTCTCTCATCTTCTTCGATCTGTTTGGCATCTTCAATTTCTTCGACTTTTGCAGGTTTCTGAAGTGTCAGTATAGATTCTATCAAATTATTATCACTCACCAGATCTTCAACGTCTCCAATGGGTTGACCAATCCCTGTCAAACCCTCGTGCAAAGGCTTGAGTGCAGTAGAATTGTCATTTGCTTTACCCTCGAAAGTGGTAAGACCAGCAGGATCATCCGAAAAATCTATCACCGGACCGGGAGATACTCCGACTTCGTCCATAGTTGAATCTTCGGAATCAGATGACGCAACGGGCTTCGTGTTCTTATTCCGCTTCGTATTTATCTTCCCTTTCGTTTTCGTGTTCCTTGTCCCACGGGTCGGTCTCATATTCGTATCGGTCACAGAGACCGACGAATTTCGCCTCGTTTTGCTTCGTACAACAGGACCGGTATCCTTCTTTCCTTCCCCATCCTTGAGAGAAGCGTCTTCCATCGCACGTGCTGACTGTGGCGAATCGAGAGCGTCTTTCTCTCCCAGAATCGAAATCGGTAAAGCCGGTTTCTGATCTTCCATTGACGCAGTGGAATTTGTCGATATGGGTTTGATGACTTCTTTGACAGGCGAAACAACCTGGGTTTTCTTTTGAGAAAAGTCCTTGACTTCATCTTGTACTTCAGCCTCTGACCCTGAGAACATTTCCATATCAGTATCATCTTCACTTTCCAACACCTCGGTAGCCGTAGTCTCGGAATCTGAACCTGTTTCCATTTCAATGTCATCCATATTGGAAGTGTTTCGTGATTCTGGGCGAGATTGAGGATGAGAGAGAGGACTTTCGATGAGATGTGAAGTATGTCGGGAAGTTTGAGATGTGTTTGATAAAGGCGAAGACGATCTATGTCGTTTGGGTGAATCATCAATGTCCATATCCTCATCTCTATCGGAATCATCAGAATCCTCAGATTGAGAACTGTTCCCATCATTCACTTCCGTCGCAGTCGGTGTGATTTCCACACTTTTCTTTACACTCTGTTCCTTCGTCCTTGATTCCCAATTCGACATCGGTTCACGGTCCACTTGCCTACTGAGGTGAAAAGCCAGATTGAACCCTTCTGGAAATCTCCTTCGACGAGCTTCCTCCTCTTCCAACTCCCACGATCTCAACATCCGTGCCTTACCTATCAATTCTCCTAGATTCGCAGCTTCTTTGATTCCTTCCGCGGGGCGATACTCGTCTCGTCGTAGTGACTCGCAGATGTATTTCAGTTGGGCCAGCGCACAATTTCCAGGTATTTGACAGGCGCAGGAAGAGAAGGTTGAGTATAGATGAGTGAGGACTATCTCGATCTGTCGTCCCAAGGCGACAGCTCGTGATTGAGGGATGGTATAAGATGGAGGCGCGATATTACCATCGGGGGTCATAGCGGGTATTATGAGATGATGAAGAATATGTACCAAATGTTTGTCGTCCCATTCCCATGGTAACACCAACTCTTCTCCGTGCTCGACACGTTTCGCAGCGAAAATACCAAATCGAAGATCTAACCGGGTGTGCTCTTGATCTGCAGGATCATCATGATCAAGATCGTCGAAATCGTCAGAGCTCTTGTCGACAGAGCGACACAGATAGGGACGTAAGACGACATTGGGATGACAGCCCGATCGAATGTATCGTAGATCACATCCGTAACTCCTAGCGTCGATGATCAAATTGACAGGTGGTCCTATGCTCCGGACATGTGGTTTAGTGGTACCCAATCCAGAATACTGGTTGATGGGATCAGACCGATATGTCCTAGGATCGACCACTTCACCCGTGAAATCACCTACAAACGCTCCCATATCTAATTCTTCATCTGCAAACACCGCATATATCGTCGGCCTGGCGTAAGTGCCTAAAGAGTCAAATGTGGAATACGAGGATTGTTCGTATCGAGGTGGTAAGAAGGAATCGGAATTTTCTACGGGCCTCACTTCCCAAGCGTGAGCTAGTTCGCTTGGTGGACCAGAGAGATGTATTGGAGGCACGGGGGGTGCCAGGATGCCAAAATTGGGTCGGGGTAGTAAACGGTCTGGGGAGAGACGCACGACACCCGTTTCAGTAGGCGAAGGTAGCCCAGTGGGATTCGGGGTTGATCTCTTTCTGGGTGTTGCCACATCCTCTTCTTCCGTCTGATCGCGTCGGAATTGCTGATAGAGTCGACGAGAGCGATCATTACGAAAGACCACTTCTTCCACAGGGATATACTCCATCTTCCATGCCTGACGATAATACCCTTCCAAATTGAGAGGGGGAATAGGGTCTCGGGGCATTGGTCCGGGGGTACTTTCCGTAGTACTCTGCTTTGTCCGTTTGCCAGTGTTTACCTTCTTTCGCGGTTTACTGATCGGAGGACCCATGGCTCCCGTGCCGGATTGCTGATCTTTCCCACTTTCCGGGTCCATCTCTCCGACCATGACGCTTCCCATTCTGGACCGTTTTGCTCTGGGCTTTGACTTGGTTTTCTTTTCTGGTGCCGGGGTCTTGACGTCCTCGACTTGTTTATTGTACAAGTCGTCTAAGCGCTTCGACATGAAGTCCCTAGCCCACTCCGCATCCACCGGCCGAGGCTCACACATCTCGCAATACCAGACCTCGGGTGCGAGAGCTTGGTCGGTGATGCGAAAGCAGAGCATGTGTTGCCAGGCATAACATGTCTCGCATTGAATGCTGTAACCGTCATCCTCTGTGAGACCGCAGATACATCGAATAGTGTCGTTGTCTTCTCCCATCCAATGAGCCGGACGTTTACCGTTGTCTTCGGGTCGGGTGAGTCTGGAAGGTCCGGCAACGGCGTTGTTGATCGTAGCAGCTGCTCGACGAGAAGATCTGCCAGCAGGAGAAGAGGGTGGCAAAACGACATCGACCGGAAGGGGTGGAAGTTGCTGAGGCCCAGAGTGTGGTGAAGGTGCTCCATCGTCCGGAGGGGTTTGAGGGTACGCTGTTGATACAGCAGGCGGTGAAGCTGGTCGAATGATTGGGGAGTTGACCATGGGTTTGGGTGATAGAATTGGAGGAATGTGCGCGTCGACAGCGGCAGAGATACCCAGGAGTAATTGTGCAGCCTCTTGAGATGCTGGACCGGCAGCCAAATCAGTCTGACTCGCAGCTACATCCTCTTTCGTCTCCATGATCACATCCAGCGCTTCAGCTCCCACCTCGAGGGAGGCAATGAGAGGGGTAGAAGGACTCTGAGGCTTTGTCATGATAGGCAGAATGCTCGCAGGCGTGTCAACCTGCAAGACGGCGTTAGAGACCAGAGAGGGCGGAGTTGCTTCTTCCATGGTTTGTACAAAGCCTCGGGCTTGATCTACCGTCGAGGGGTGGCGATGAGGATTGACCAAGGGATAGACAAAGGGGCTCTAAAGGAGGGTTGAGGAGGAAAGAGGGTGAGAGCTAGGTGGCGAGTCAGTGTTTGTTGATCTGTGATCGGTTTGATACTCGCGAAGGACGAGTGTGATTAAGGGAAAGGTAGAATCATGTGACTCACTATTGCACCATGTAGCGGTGTAGAGTGAGAGAAAGGTGAAGATGAAGACAGGGAAAAGCTATGCCAGTCAAGGTGGGCGGGAGAGGGGGAAGGATGAACTCTGAGAGGCCCGTGTAGAATTGGTATGACGACCGGTCTCTTGATTCTCAACGCTACTTTCTTGGATCACTCATAGAGCCAAAACGACGACGACCAAAGAGAAAATAGAAAACGAAATGAAGGAAATGATTATAGAGTGAAAAGTAAGGAAAACAAGTGTAAGAGTGGGTGAGAAAGGGTGAGAAGGGGGGGTTGAGAGGACGGATTCAAATTCACGACTAAAATGGGATAAATTCATGAAATATATCCCATCAATTTTATTCAAAAGTGGCAAATCGCGCCTCTCTCTCCTCCTTCTCCTTCCTCCACCAAACCACCCACTCACCCACCCACTACCCCCCCAACCACCATCACTCCCCCTTGACCCCTTCCTCCCTTCAGACACTCCCCTCCCTCCTTCATCTCACCATCATGTCGGCTCCAAAAAAGGGAAGGGATCTCTCTGGTTTCAACTATGGAAACATATCAAGTCTCGTCGTCAATCAGGGTTAGTTTCCCACCCGATAGTTTCTCTGACTTTTGCTGACCTCACTTCAGATCGTTCCGTCCTGCGACAAGATGAACCCACTGGTGTTGCTGAATCTCTCGTCGGTCGTATCAACCTCAAAGATATGGGTTCTCGCGTTCAACGAGAGGCGCCCAAAGATGTCGAGAAGAAAAAGGTCAAAGCCAAAAGGGAAGCCGCTGAAGAGGTTGAACGATCTATAAAACGTCAAGCTCAATCCTCATCTGCTCGTTTCGGTGGTGGCGATGTCCTGACCAGTGTCGCCGAACTGGAGGGATTGAGATATCGACCTCGAACTGCGGAGACTCGGGAGGTGTATGAGCTTATGCTAGGCTTGGTACATCAAGGTCTTGGGGATCAAACTCAAGAAGTGGTGCGAAGTGCTACCGACGCCGTGTTGGAAGGACTGAAGAGGGAGGATTTGAAAGAGTTTGACAAACGTAAAGAAGTCGAGATAGTCCTAGGACCGACGACTGAAGAGGTTTGGAATCAGTTGATCAACATGGGGAAGAAGATCACTGATTACGGAGAGGATGAAGATGAACCCCAGGGTGATGAAAGAGAACGAGCGGTGAATGACGAAGGTGTAGCAGTGTTGTTCGAAGATGAGGAAGAGGACGAGGAACAGTTCGCCATTGAAAGTGCTGCCTCATCCGAGGATGAGGACGAGGAACAGGAGGAAGATGAAGAAGAGGGAGAGTCTTCCGAAGCTGAGGATGTGGAAGAAGCTATGATACTTGGTAAAGAAACAACAAAAACGAAATCAAAATTCGACAAAGTATCACCACATGAAGTCGACGGTTTTTGGCTTCAACGTCTTATCGCTACATACTACCCTGACCCTGTCCAATCTTCCGACTTCACCGCTCGAGCTCTGGAATTACTAGGTTCTGAAGCCGAGTTGCGAGATCTCGAGAATGCCCTGGCGGAGATGTTCGGATACGAAAACTTTGATCTCGTCGCAACGCTCACCAAAAACCGCGAGGTCATCGTTTGGTGTACTAAACTCGCCCGTTGTAACGAGGATGAACGTCAAGATGTCGAAGTCGCCATGCGAGAAAGAGGAGCGGGATGGATTTTACGACAACTTCGTGGAGATCGCAAACAGGCTGCTGAAGAAAAACCTCAAAATGTCGTTCCTACAAAAGCTACCCTCGCTCCTGGATCCGTTGCCCGACCACAGAAGGTCATTGATATCGATTCGCTCATCTTTACCGAAGGAGGGCATTTGATGTCGCGCAAGAAGGTCACTTTGCCTGAAGGATCGTACAAGCGGCAAATGAAGGGGTATGAAGAGATCCACGTGCCCGAGCCTAAACGACGAGAAATCCAACGGGGAGAGCTCATCTCAATCGCTCGTATGCCGGAATGGACACATCCCGTTTGGGCCAGCGTTCAAACATCTCAACTCAACCCCATCCAGAGTAAAGTTTTCTCCACGGCTTTCGAGACTAACGAGGCTATGCTCATCTGTGCTCCGACAGGAGCAGGTAAGACAAATTGTGCCGCTCTCGCCATTCTTCGAACAATCTCACAATATCGAGACCCCAACACTGGCTATATCGATCGAGATTCCTTCAAGATCATCTATGTCTCACCTATGAAAGCTTTAGTGCAAGAACAAGTCAACGCGTTTTCCAAACGGTTCAAAAGTCTTGATATCCGCGTCGCCGAACTCACCGGTGATAGTCAATTGACCAAACAACAAATTTCCGAAACGCAGATCATTGTGACTACTCCTGAAAAATGGGACGTCATCACCCGTAAAAGCACAGACGTGTCATACACCAATCTTGTACGTTTGATCATTGTCGACGAAATTCATTTGCTTCATGATGACCGAGGACCTGTTCTCGAAGCTATCCTGGCTCGTACGATCCGACGTGCTGATCAAATCCACGATGAGGTTCGTGTGGTTGGATTATCTGCGACTTTGCCAAATTACAAAGATGTCGCTGCGTTCTTACGTGTGGACGTTAATAAAGGTCTGTTCTACTTCGACGCCTCGTATCGACCTGTAGGATTAAAACAACAATTCATCGGCGTGACAGAAAAGAAAGCCATCAAACGTTTACAAACGATCAACGAAGTTTGTTACGAAAAAGTTCTAAATCAAGCTGGGAAATCTCAAACTATAGTGTTTGTTCACTCGAGGAAAGAAACTGCGAAAACTGCAAAATTCCTACGAGACATGGCAATGGAGAAAGAAACTTTGACTCAATTCATCAACCCTGAAGGAGCTTCAAGAGAAGTTTTATTACATGAAGCGTCACAAAGCAAAGACGGGAACCTGAAAGATATCCTTCCATTCGGTTTCGGTATCCATCACGCCGGTATGTCTAAAGAAGATCGAGCTACAGTGGAAGAACTTTTCCTCGATGGTCATATACAAGTTTTGTGCTGTACTGCTACTCTTGCATGGGGTGTGAATCTACCAGCGCATACGGTCATCATCAAAGGTACACAGATCTACAATCCGGAGAAAGGAAGATGGTGCGAGTTGAGTCCTCAGGACGTGTTACAAATGTTAGGAAGAGCGGGTAGACCTCAATTCGATACTTACGGAGAGGGTATCATCATTACCAATCACTCTGAATTGCAGTATTATACCAGTTTGTTGAATCAGCAATTACCAATCGAGAGTCAGTTCGTCAGTAGGATGGTTGACAATTTGAACGCGGAGATTGTGCTGGGTACAGTGAGGAACCGAGATGAGGGAGTGCAGTGGATGGGGTATACTTATCTGTGAGTTATCTCACCCCCTGCTTAGCCCACCACGTCCTGAGTTCTTGTATCCCGGTCATCGCATTCTCAGGGTCCCGAGTGCTCATATTTTGTCCATGACCTCAGAAGAATTGAGTCATATGACTAACTTTCAGATACGTTCGTATGCTTGGCGCACCTGCTTTGTACAATGTCGGTGCCGACTACATGGACGGTGATGCTGCGCTTGTTCAGAAAAGAGGTGAGCTTTGCCTGGTGATGTTCGGGTGGCAAGCTGACTCTTCAGCCGATCTTATCCACTCGGCTGCTGTTCTACTGGAGAAAGGCGGGTTGATCAAGTATGATCGTTCCACAGGCATCTTCGCCTCGACCGATTTGGGTCGTATTGCCTCCCACTACTACGTGACGTACTCTTCAATGTCGGTGTACAATAAACATCTGAAACCAAACATGAGCATCATCGACATGTTCAGAGTTTTCGCCTTGTCCAACGAATTCAAGCTTTTACCCGTCCGACAAGAAGAGAAACTCGAATTAGCCAAGCTGCTTGAACGTGTCCCCATACCTGTCAAGGAAGGTGTCGACGAGCCCATCGCTAAGATCAACGTCCTTCTCCAAGCATACATCTCTCAGTTGAAATTGAGCGGATTCGACATTGTGACAGATATGGTATTCATTCAACAATCTGCAGGACGTATCATACGTGCAATGTTCGAAATTTGTCTCAAAAAAGGTTGGGCAGGTCCCATGAGGATAGCTTTGGATTTGTGTAAAATGGTTGAAAGAAGAATGTGGAAATCGATGACTCCACTTAGACAATTCCCTCGAATCAGAAATGAGATCATCACCAAAGCCGAACGAAAAGAATTTCCTTGGTATAGATATTTCGACCTGGACGCTGCGGAATTAGGTGAATTATTAGGATTACCTAAATCTGGACAATTGATAGAATCCCTCGTTCATAAATTCCCTCGATTAGATCTCCAAGCTCATGTCTTACCGTTGACACGAACACTTCTCAAAATCAACGTCACCATAACTCCTGATTTCGTATGGGATCATGAGATTCACGGATCCAGTCAAGCATTTTGGATCATTGTGGAAGATGTTGATGGTGAACATATCCTTTATCACGATTCTTTCATTCTAAGAGAACGTTTCGCTCAAGATGAACATTTTGTCACTTTGACCGTTCCTATCTCAGAACCTGTTCCTCCGAATTACTACGTCAGTGTGATATCCGATCGTTGGCTACAATCTGAAACTCGACTACCTATTTCTTTCACCCATCTCATCCGACCTGAACCATTCCCACCTCATACTCAATTACTGGATCTTCAACCTATGCCCGTATCTGGTTTACATAATCCAACATACGAAGCTTTGTATTCATTCAAAACATTCAACAAGATTCAAACTCAAGTTTTTCAAGCTCTATACACCACAGATGAAAACGTTTTCATCGGTGCTCCTGCAGGAAGTGGGAAAACCATTTGTGCCGAGCTTGCTTTATTACGATTATGGACAAAGAAAGAACCACCAAGAGCAGTTTGTATTGAACCTTATCCCGAAATGGTCGATCTCAGATTACTCGAATGGTCTGATAAACTCTCTTCTTTAAACAAAGAGATAAATTCTTTAACAGGTGAAGCAACTGCCGATCTAGCTATTCTACATAAATCCGATTTGATCATTTGTACACCTTCTCAATGGGATCTCTTATCTCGTAGATGGAAAACAAGAAAAGATGTACAAGAAATAGGTTTATTGATAACGGATCAACTTCAACTTTTAGGTGGTGATATAGGAAGTACATACGAAGTCATAGTTTCAAGAACAAGATACGTTTCTCAACAAACAAATTTAAAAACTCGTATTATATCAATATCAGTTTCATTATCAAACGCAAAAGATTTAGGTGATTGGTTAGGATGTCAAAATCAAAACATTTTTAATTTCTCAACTTCTTCAAGACCTTTACCTTTAGAAGTACATATTCAATCTTTTTCAATTTCACATTTCCCAAGTTTAATGTTATCAATGTCGAAACCTGCTTATCTATCAATGGTAGAACATTCAATTGGAAAACCTACGATTTGTTTCGTACCCAGTAGGAAACAATGTAAATTAACAGCGAATGATATTTTGAGTTATTGTCTTGCGGATGAAGATGAAGAAAAGTTTTTAGGTGTTGAAAAAGAAGAATTGGAAAAACATTTGGATAGAGTTCAAGATGATGATTTGAGAGAAAGTTTGAAATATGGGATTGGGTTTTATCATGAAGCTTTAGGGAAATTGGATAAGAAAATTGTGACTACTTTGTTTGAAGAAGGTGCTATAAGAGTTTTGGTAGCATCCAAGGTGAGTTATATTCATCTCACATCACTTTCATTCCTTGGTATTATCTATCTTTAATTTTCAACTCTTGAAAGTCGTTTCGATGAGAATCACTTGTACCATTTCCTTGCTTCCTCTCCTTTACGCCGCTCAATCCGAACTTTGTCACTAAAGTGGCTTATCCCTTCGTCCGTTTTGGAAAGGTCTTCTTCTTCATTGGACCATTGTCAGACATCCAAGTCACCCTATCTATGTGCTCTTCACAACTCTTGTATCGGTTCACCCTTTTTACCTTGAACTCCTAAGCGAAGAGTGATACAGGAGGGACGACACGAACCTCATCCGTCTCCCTTCGAGTCGGGAACTTCAAGTATGTTGTGCACAAGAGAGACGCTAAACTCCAGGACACAGCGTGGTCTCTTCCCGTTTCAGCCTACATGGTCCTCATCATGGGAGTTCAATCTTTTGACGGACAAGAACATCGTTATGTTGATTATGCCATTGCGGACGTATTACAGATGATGGGTAAAGCGTGTAGACCTGGGGTAGATAAATCGTCTAGATGTGTTTTGATGTGTCAGCAGGTGAGTGATCTTTCTTTTACATCCCTCTCGGATGCCCCTCAGAATCTTCTCACTCGCTGCGCTGCATAATTTGTATCGGCTGCACAACCCAGCTTATATCTCCCCACCACCTTCGGCGTCTAAGTTGAGAAGTGACTCGTCAATTCACCACGTCATGGGAAGTCGTACAAAGCAGTGGTACGAAGTTTGGGGTCTCAAGTCCTGCACCACATCATTGTCACGGTCCACGAGCTGACTAGCTAGGTCCGTAAAGACTTCTTCAAAAAATTCATCAATGAAGCTTTACCCGTCGAAAGCAGTCTGCCGAATTACCTGCACGATCACTTCAACGCTGAAATTGTGGCCAAGACTATTGAGAATAAACAGGATGCAGTGGATTGGTGTACTTGGACTTGGTTTTATAGGAGGTTGATGCAGAATCCAGGGGTGAGTAGTGGTTCTTCTTTCTGTTCTCCTTCCCGTTCTTCTGCCCCTTTACGCGACCCTCACCCCCACCCCTCCCCGGTACTCTGTCGTCTCACACCCCCTCTTCTCGATGCCGTGTAGTCTCCCATCCAATTGGCTTCTTTTCCCTCTGGTCCCAGTCTGCCGATAATATTCTTTCTTACAAATCCACCAACCTTCGTCTATCCCCACTCCTTGGTCCTAAAATCTGTGAATACCATTACGCCTTACTGACCCCAGTTTTACAATCTACAAGGAACCACTCCCACTCACATCGCCGATTACCTTTCCGAACTTGTCGAAACCACTCTCAGCGATCTTGTCCAATCCGACTGTATCATCATACAAGACGATATGGACACTCTCCCGAATAACCTGGGTATGATCGCCTCCTTCTATTACATATCCTACGTCACTGTCGAAACATTCTCAGCATCAATCAAAGAAACAACCAAACTTAAAGGTCTTCTCGAAATCGTTTCATCAGCACACGAATTCGAAACAGTTCCAATAAGACATCACGAAGATTCTCTACTCGCTAGAATTTACGATAGAGTTCCTGTCAAAGTTCAAAAAGTAGATTATTCATCACCATACTTTAAATCTTTCTTATTGCTACAAGCTCATTTTTCAAGGATGACACTCCCACCTGATCTAGCCATCGATCAAGCTACGATATTGGGTAAAGTCACTGGATTGTTAAGTGCTTGTGTGGATGTTATGAGTTCTAAATCACTTTTAGGATGTTTAGGAGCGATGGATCTAAGTCAAATGTGTGTTCAAGCCGTTTGGGATAGAGATAGTCCTTTGAAACAAGTTCCTTATTTCGACGTAGATGTTTTAGATAGGTTTAAGAAAGAAGGTTTGGATTCGGTTTATGATATCATGGAATTGGAGGATGAAAAGAGGATGGATCTGTTGAGGATGAATGAGAGACAACTGTGGGTTTTGATTTCATTCCATACATCCATATCTTCTTTATCCACTATCTCTTCATTCTCTCTTCATTTCTGTAATACCTGCATCTGTCAAAATGTTCTTCTACACTTCTCCCTTTCTGTCTTTTTATTCATTTCATTCCTGTTGTACTCTCCCTTGATTCATCTTTTCCTCCCAATCCGTCACCCACCTCCCGCCCATCCGACTTATAATCCCCCCCCCCCCCTCCCCGGGTCCTCGTGGTGAGTGACAAGAAGGAAAAACACATCTCAAGTGTCAAAACATTGACAAACACTAACTTCCAGTGCTCGAGTAGCAAAATTCGTAAACTCTTATCCCAATTTAGAAATCTCTTATTCCATCTCATCATCACCTCACACAACTTCCGATCCTCTAATCTTGACCATAACTTTAGACAGAGAATCAGACCCTTCAAACCCAGACGATATAATAGCCGATGCTCCTCTTTTCCCACATAAAAAAACCGTATCTTGGTGGTTAGTAGTAGGAGATCATAAAACACGTACTTTGTACGCTATCAAAAAAGTAACGGTCAAAGATAAGTTGGAAAGTCGTTTAGAAGTCAGTTTACCTGAAGGTAAACAGAAATTGAAATTGTACGTGATTTGCGATTCTTATACTGGTGCGGATCAAGATTTCGATTTGGAGGAGATTTCGGTTGAAGAAGGTGAAGAAGAGAGTGAAAGTGAGGAGGAAAGTGAAGATGGGATGGAACAGGATTGATCACCGGGGATCATTCGCCTTATCGTCAATTGATTTTGGAATGGGATGGAACATGTATTCACATTACATGACGTGATAAACCTCTTGTTCGTAGTGAGATAGCATGGAGTGGCAAGTGGCAAGAGGGATAATACCGGCAGAGGGATGGAGTGGTGAGAGGGATACAACCGACAGAGGGATGAAGTGACAAGTGAGATAAAGTGAAAAGTCGAAGATGGGATGATTTCGGGAGTTGGGTGGAGGGATAAAGACTGAATGGAATGAATGCATAACTATCTGTTTTCTACAATCTTGTTGCTGACGCCATTCGAATGAACAATTAGAAAGCCTTGTCAATCATGATAAAATAATGCATGAAAAGATACATACAACCAATTGATCTAAAGTATCTTCACATTTCTTACACAAAACCAGACCAACGTGTCTTGCAGTTATGATCTTCATGAATTTCACACAACTCAAAAGGAAGAATTTATCCTAAATCTCGAAAGATGATAAGCTGATTCATGTAACACGGACATGAAACGAGAAAGAATGTTTGTTCATAATTGTCCAAAAATGTAAATCATGATTCTACTTCTTGTAAACGTTCTAATTGTCTGATTCGTCAGTCATTTATACCTCAACATAACGACACACTCGTCTCTTCTTTGACCATCCTCAGCTTGGGAGGGGGGGAATTCTGATCTACGGCTTGATAAACGAACCATCAATTTGGCATAATGGATCAGACCGGGGGGGAGAACAAAAAATGCTCAAGTATCCAACTTTTGATAGATATACGAAGATCCCAGGAACTCCGGATAACACACAAGAAATAAGGAAGAGGGGGAGGGGATTGAAAAACACCCACGCTAATGCTCTCGAACGACTCAAACGTTCTCTCCTAACCCCTGCCCAAACGCTCAATCCCAGGGCGAACAAACTACCTAGGATGGTAAGTTGGAATGCGGTGGAATAACATTTCCGACCTAACAAACCTGTTTTTCAGTGTTGATTTTATGCTTTTACATCAGGAAGGAAGACGACATGAGACAGGGTATTTGATAGATATGTTTGAGAAGGAATTTGATAGATATATTTGAGATGCATTTTTCGAGTGATGGGTGAAAGTCGGATCAAGAAGGTGAGAGGATAGGCGAATAGAACGCTCGGAGGATGGTAGGCTAGGAAGAGGGGAAGGAAGGAGGAGGAAAGTGTTGGAGGTAGAAAGAGTGATAGGTGACAAAGTAGAAAGATGGGAAGACACTAACAAGCATGATGATCTGATCCGGCTCTTGGGAAATGTGCAAGAACAGAAAGGTTTGTCAGATTTGAGGGAGAAGGTACTGAAGGACTTATATGACCGATCTTGGTATTAGCATCTACAACGACTTCACAAGCTCTCTCTAAGGTTGAAGATTAGACCATTGCAAGATCTGTGTAAACTCGATTGCCATAGAACTCGTTAAGACCACGGAGGATGGATGGCAAGAAAGATGCGAGAAAGACGTTAGGAGAATGAGATGTTGAAGGGGAAAGTGAGCGTGGACACAGATAAAGACGACAGGGGAATGACAAAAAGATAAGAGGGCTGGAAGTAAAAGAAAGGGCAGAGAGTGAAAAGAATATGTGACGAACAGCATTGGAATCGTATATTCTACCAAATATCAAATTGAAAAGATTACCTCCTGTGACAGGTGCGACGCAAATCCATCCGTAATTCTTCATGTCAGCTCTACTCTCGTGCCGACTCCCAGGTGTCCAAATCACACCTATTCAGGAAAAAACCATTGTCCCGGGTCCCATATGAGTGGGAAATAGGACAAACAGGTAAAAGTTGAAGTCCTTAAGGCCGACTATGAAGATGATTACTGACAGAGGGGTATGAGTAGGGAGAGAAAGCAGTATTAAATCAAGGAAGCGATTAAATCAAAGATGTGTACCCACGAAGGATTGTGCTTACCTGAGAAAAATGTGCCATGCCAAACCATTCTAACACCAACATAGGTACTACGTTGAATAAAGCGCCGTATGCCACTCCTAGAAGGGTAGAAACTATCCATAGATGATGTACTGATTCTGTTGAAAAAGCTACGATTTGAGAAATAAGGAAAGAGAATGCTACGACTGGTAGGAACCATATCTAATTTGGTCAGTTTCCTGGGCTTTGACATTTCGGAGTAACGTCACGAGGAATATACCTAACGCAGAAAGAAGATGTAAGGATAGTCATAAAGAGTTGATCCTTGGTGTGGGATATCGGAGGGAGTTAAGGGAGGTGATAATTGCTTGAATGGGGTGTGGGAGGGCGCAATGCGAAGAGGGGACATACACGAGCTAAATGGAATTTCGCTTTGCAATAATCCGAGTATAGTCCTGATACATGAGTATATCCCAAGTGAGTGCAACCCCATCCAGTTGGCGAAGGTTCCCCCCCCCCCCCCTTTCCCCTCCCGGAGAGGCGGATCAACGGTACGAGTCACAAGACACCCAAGAGACATAGGTTTTAACAATGATATAAGTGACACAAGCTGACCGGGTTGCAGTGAGCATGTTGTGGGAGAGCAAGCTGATGTGTAATCATACAATTTGAGACTCACCACCTATGACCCTACCCGAACAGTTCCAAACGCTAATTATAGCCACCTGTTTAGCTTGCCAACCACTAACCAATTTCTTATCATATTCTAAATTACCATCTCTCGCCAAAGCCAAAGTGACCGTTCCGACATTATTGATATACATCAAACCCACTCCACACAACGTAGCCAAAGTCAAACCTAAAAGCCAGAAATCAACTTTGAATAATAATTCTGTAGGTTTGTAAGATATAGCCGATGGTTTTAAAGATCCCATTGAACTTGATCTTTTATGTGATGGTTTGTGTGATAGTGATGAGGAAGGTTCAGGAATTGCGAAATGTGCGTGAGGATGAACATCATCATGATCAAGATGTTGGGCGTTATCGAGGTTAGGAGATTGAGATTGAGATTGAGAATGTGAAGAATTAGATTGTTGATGATGATGATCATGATGTCTTTCTCTTGGAAAAGGACCAGGAGAATGTGTTCTAGTTCTCGTCAATTCTAATGAATTTGTTCTTGAAATATACAATTCACTCGATCTTCTTTTCGGTCCATTTGGAATAACACCTTCTTCATCTTGATCTTCAATGGCGATAGGTTGATATCCTTCTTCAGAATGAGGTGAAACGGGTCGTACAAAGATACTTGATAATAACATTGGAAGACTCGTTCCTATACTGAGTAAAATGAGAAGACCACCAGCATCACCAGGAAATATCAAATGTCCTATTGTACTAAAGAAGAATGCGCTCAGTCCAAGACCCGCTAAGACTATACCGGATGCACTGGCACGGGATTTATCAGGATAAGATTTGGCGACTGTATTGAGAGCGGCGGTGATTCCTCCGCAACTACCAGCACCTACCATACACATGGAGAGTGCTAGGAGGAGCATCGCGGGGAGAGAAACGGGGTCGGTAGGGAGTGCAGAAGAAGGACGAAGAGGGATGGTGAGAGTGTAGAAAGAGTGAACAAGGGCGTATCCAGTGAGGATTGAGAGACCGCCAAGGAATAATGGTCTGTTCGTTAGGTCCATATAATCGGTGAGGTCGCATATTCCAATCGGGTCTGCCTGCCACGTAACGGTGCACTCCCACCAAGAATAAAAAGGGTCTGTGAATGAAGAAGAAAGTAGAATGGGAGAAAAGGGACACGTACAATCCAGGACCACGTGCATCTGTGAGTTTACCCCAACTGTACGTCAGTCATAAGATTCAAATGTTCAGCGGAAGGGTGTTGAAAAACCACCTACAAAGGTCCAGTGCCATACATCCCAAAGTTTCCAAGGAGCGCAATCTCATTGATCTGGGTGGATGATAACGATAATTGTGAGGCTAATTGAGGGGCGTAGGCTAAAGTATGAGCTTATTCAATGAAACAAGTTTGCAGCTCACCAGAGTAGACCTTGAAAGAAAGGCATAGTCAGCGTGTACGATCAATCAAATTGATGAAAGGGGATATCTCACATAGTTTGAACCGCTATTCCGTCAGATAGTTATCATTTGTTTCATACATATCGACGTGTGGAGAGTAGTAATAAAGAAAGAGATGGATACACAAGACTCACCTGCCTAAACCACATAGAACACACATGATCAAAACGATCGTCCTCTTCTTATCTGTCGCCGTCCATTCGGTGGGTAACCAAGAAGAAGGGGAGAACATTGCACCTGATCTCTTGGACCGGAGTAAAGGGGTAGGGCTGCCGTCCATGTTGTATGACCAAGTCACTTGGATAAGCTGCAGGATACTAGACCTTTGATGAGAAGGAAAGAAGAGGAGGAGAGGAAGATGAAGAGAGTATATAAGGTAAGTATGTGAAATGTAGTTAGGTAGATAGGATGTGACCGATGAATGACGCTTTTCTCGTCAACAACAACAACCTCATCTTTCACTTTTTCACCTTGTACTTCTTCACATCGTCACCTAACTATTATCTCATGTCATTATCGAATTCTACTCTACTATCACCTTCTCTCCTCTCTCCGGGAACTATACTCCCTACGAACACACATGTATCAGGTACAGTCAATACCATCTGGGGTGACCTTTTATCAAAAGCTACCTCCATCCCACGTATCGCCATAAAGTTAAAATGTCAACTCCTAGGTTCTCCCCCCTCAAATGTATACACTTCAGACGATTCGGGGCAAACCCAATATATCTATCTCATCAAATTGGTGCTCTTACCTAAGAATGCAACAATTGTGAGACCAGAATCATTTCAAAAATCAACTTTGGCACAGGAGATGAAGAAGGATAAAAAATCATTAGCTAGGAAAAGTTTGACAATACAGGTGGATCATATGGAGGTAATTTCAGTGATGAGAAAGGGGAATATAATAGAAGTAGAGATTATGGGTGAAGGTGAACGTTGGGTTCAAGCTGATCAAGGAGAAATATGGAAGATCCTCACCGGTACGTTTCCTCATATACACCAATGATGATTGTAAACTCATGGTAGATGTTCCTGATCCGAGTGAATGGTTTTTGGCTCCCACCCCTCCCATAAACGTCCCAGTGGAATCTAGATTGAAACCAATCACCGATCTACCCGTCCCTGCCCTCCCGACCAAAACAACAACAAAGAATAAACGTCCCAGTCCTGCGATCGATAAACCGATGGAGAAGAAGGCGAGAGTCTCTCCTCCTGAAGCGGTACAGGAAGAAGCAAAAACGGTGGTCAGATTAGGTCCACCAGGTAGAGCAGTGGTGGAATATCATTCTCGTTCACCTGCTAAATCGGCCGAATCAGTTCTCGCTCAACCTCCACAAATCTTACAGATTCACGAAGAAATTCCTCCCGCTGTATCTCATAATGGTCCTAAATTTCCGGCACCCAGGATCACACCTACGTTGAAAGCCAGACCTGAGGAGCCACCTATGATAGAGATGCAGGCGTCAACTAATGTGTCTGCAACGACACAGGTTAGGGGAGTGGCAGAACAAGATGTTAGGGGTGTGCAAAACGCAGAAGCGGGGCCATCTCGAATGGTAGACTCGGTAGAGGACTTGCGACTCAGACGAAGAGAAGCGGAGGAGACTGCCAGACGAGAAGGGTCGGAGAGGTTGAGATTGTTAAGGGAGGAAGAACATGCAGAGCAGGCGAGTATGGATAAACTTCGGACGGAGTTGCGTGTTTCCGTGAGTTGACTTGTTAATCTGAACCAGGACGTCAGGCGCGGAATATGAATATCCCGAAACTACAGGATTTCATGGTGTAGGTCGGACTGATGAGTAGGGCATCAAATACACTCCTCTGGGAAACACATCAGATTACCAAATTGTCAATCTTATCGGTATAGTGATAGATGTTCCAGGTCCTCCTAAGAAAACCAAAGCAGGTCCGTTCCTTGCATCAATTTTCTACTCGTCTTACGAAGCTCACATGGCAGGCGATTGGCAAGTCAGCCTCGTCATTGGTGACCCGACGACACATGACACATCCCGTGCGGCGGAAGATATGGTTCTTACTCTTTTCCGAAAGACCGTAGCTGAGCTCCCTATTGTCGGACAGGGTACACCGATGTTATTCAGGAATATGAAAGTGAGTTGGCGACGTATGCCGTCATCCACTCCTCACACCCTCCTTCGCCTCATGAGAGAATGTATCATCACTTTGTAGTCGAGACTTGATAGACTGACGACCAGCTCAAAGCTTGGAACGGAAAACTTAAAGGAAACGCCTTCACAGGTGACGGTAACACTTGGGCTTGGCTTGAAGGTCGATCATTAAGGTTTGCGGACCAAGCGGCCTTGATACCAAGTGTCAGTAAGCCCGAGATAGATCGATTGATGTTATTGCAGACTTGGTGGAGAGGATTGAATGGGTCCAATGGTCATGTAGGAGGTTGGGAAGTTAGGTCTGTGTCTGGAGGGGAAAAAGGAAGAAGTGAAGAAGTGGGATCTCCGGGTGGAAATGGACAGGTTTTGTTATCTCAAGTCCGAGAAGGCATGTTTTTTGATGGTCTTTTCAAGGTGAGCTATGTTCACTTGCCTCTAATTGAGGAGAACCTCATTCGTTCTTTTGACCGTCATTCCAGTTCTACCCATTTTGTGATACTATCCTCACCGTCTCTCTCCCTGCTTTCTGCTCGCAGGGAATTTTAATCGAACCTGCTGCAAGAGTCTCGCTGCACTTCCCTCGTCCGTCTTTCTTTAGCAATTCTTCGTACGTTCCACGACCCATATTCCCAGTCTGACTCTTCTCCCATCCTTGTAATCCCGGAAATCTTGCTGATTCACAGATCATTCACGTGATTCGTAACACTTCCCCTAATCAACCACCTTACGAACTCTACGTCTCTGACGGTACCATTTCCTCTATCGCTATCCGTAACTTTCACAATATATATGGAGACCTACCTCCTTCGGCAGTCCATTCAGTGGCGATAAAATCCCGTCCTCCGCCAGAAGTGGAAAATATGTTCGTTCATGGTAACGTGCTTAAAATGGCCAACATACGAGCAAAGACTTTCAGAGGTGAAATGGAGTTGATCTGGAGCGAACATGTCACTATTGAGCAAGCTAGGGAAGGATGGAAAGCTAGACGATGTAATATTCTTGGAGGGGATGATGAGAGGGTCAAGGTCATCGAGAGGTGAATCAACTTCCGTTTTCCACTTTATTGTTAAACCCTCCGTTTTACACCTCATTTCTAAACACTCCGTTTTCCACTTCATTCTTAAACACCATTTGTCATATCGCCTCCTTGTAGCCTCCGGGTTCTATCATCTTTGAGCCGTATCGTCCCACTTCATCGTGTATAAGATCACATACCGTGCATAAAGGCGGGTCTTTATGACACATCCAGAATTATGTCATGGTGTCATGAAATGATAGCTGATGCTTAGTCGTATCAAACATCTCAAAAGAATCGATCAAGACCTCACACACGATTATTCAGCTTTGGATCCTGAAATCAAAATGATCTACACGAATCAACGAATTAGCCCCATCCGTCTCAGTGACCCGGTGTCTACGGATTTTACGCCTCAGACAACCAATCAACAATCTTCCTCGAATTCCATAAATGGAGAACGTCCAGTCGAGAAAGAAACACGCCTAGCTACTCATTTACGTACAATTCATACGGACCCAATCGCACATCCTCTCTCTACCCTTGAAGATATCCTTGGGAATGGGACAGTACCAAATAGGTTCAGAGTTAGAGCGAGGGTGAAGTCTGTACATCCTCGTGGATTACCGGGGGTGAGTAGGGAGATTGGGTATGTTCAGAGACATTGTGTGAAATGTGCCAGGCAGTGGGTTATCCTTCTCCTCCCTCTTTCGTCTCCCTACTTTCGGCGTCATTCTCCACATGACCTTTGATAACGTGTACTATCCTCCTCGGTATTTCATCGTTGGCGGTTCTCGCCTCCTTTTGTTTGCTTCTTTCCCCGTATCTTGTCTCTCACTTCCGATGCCGCACATCATCCTTGTCCATGCTTACCATCGCTTTTGCTCTCTCCTTGAAGAGTGACCACAGGTAAGATCACGTTTCAACGCACGGATTAACAAAATAGTTTTCCACATGCGTTCTGCACCTCTTGTCAAGATACTCACTTCGCTCATGCTGAATGGAGATATCGTTTTCTTGTGATTCTCGAATCGGATCAGGGGTTCACACTCCCAGTGGTCATAGCTGATGAGGATGCAGTAAGTGTGATTCCTCTTCCTCGCCCTTATACTCATTACGTTTCCTCAACCCTATCTTTAAACTACCTTTTCACCTCTGTTTCATTTCCGGGTTTTGCTTCTCAATCTAGACATCTTTCGACCCAATCTTTTAATCGGTGAAAGAAGTTTAGAGAGCGACTCAACGGTCAAGTCAATCATTGCTAATACTAGAACGGATTCCTTCCCCCTCTTCCTCCCATATCCACCACTTCCAACCCCAACGATCAACGTAAAACCGCCGCACAACTCCGTCGAATTTGCGCACAGGTAGATACAATCCTCCTTGGACCTAAGATGGATGGTTTACATTCTCGGCCGTTGGTGGAATGGACGATCCAGACGTTTCTTGCGTCACCACCTAGAGGGCAGGGAGAAGGGGTTGTAGTGGGTAGAGTGTTTGGAATGTGGTCTGCGTAGTGTGAGGTAAAAATATATTGGTGGTACTTGTCTGCTGCCAAGTACACTTTAATCCACCTCATTCACACTGTGTATGTTAGAGTACAGTGGGCACAGCATATTGCTGATGGTCAAGCTTCACGCCTTATCACTATGCATCATTCTTACGTCTCAAGTGTACATCAGAGGACACTCTCTCTTATCCTGCACCATTGGCACCAGGGTCCGGATGGGACAGCTCTGGCTTTGCACTCACCACTATTTCCTCTCTCCAAGGGGCTGTGGGAAAGGGGGATCAAGGGTTAGCTAGGGCGTGTTCATTTTCAATTTCTCCTTGCGCTTCCAGTGCAAGCACCGCATTTAGTGTGTTATCTTCCACAGCTTGCTTTCTACGCCACATGTCATCTTTGTTAGGTCGAGATAACAAAGCAGAGAGTCTTGGTGGTTGATAGGAGCTGGCAGCTGGCGCCTGCCAGCGTTGGGAATAATCACCCCACTTGGTCATCACAGTTGTAAGGATTTGGGGATCATAACTGTCACGCGGCACCACATGACATCATCTTTCCCCATCAACGAGGTTCCTTTGGATATCAGTTCGCCATCAACAATCCAGTTCTCATGAACTTCATCACTGTAACGGTACTGGAAACACGACGACTAGGTCGCAGGTTGGGTCGAACTCGATGGATGTCTCGTGGAAATCTAGGGGCTCTGGTGCTAATGGATCGTGTCTCCTCTGCAATCGATGTAGCCAAAGAATGATATTGAAGAATCAGCAAAGTTGGTACTTTGCTGATTGTACTATATACTGTCTACGGCTATCCTTGTCCTCGTCTCCTTCCTGCTGCAAGCGTCTACGTACATACTCGGACAGGTGAAAAACCGCTTTGAGCAAACCCAGTGGGGAAATCTCGAAAGGGGAAAACCCGTCCCTACCTACTGCAGCACTGCCTCCAACTCCCGCTTTCCTCTGTCCTAATCCGTCGAACTCGATAGAGTCCTCTCGATTCGTTGTTACTCCGTAACAAGTTTCCCCCCCTGTCTCAAGGATCCTCGCCGAGGATCCTGAACCCTGTAACCAGGTGATGCACATGGATTGTTCTTAGACACCTTTGGTGCGCCCTGACATCATACCCACGCTAGTGTGACGGTTGCCATGAAAACGCGTCACCCGCACGGACCTCCAATGTGATCGAGAAATTACTGACCAAGTTACCTCCCCGTCTTTTTTCTCTTCTTTCCTCCTCATTCTCTCTTTACCTCTTGTTTGTCATTCTTTTTACTTATCTATCATTATCCATCCATATCTTACTCATATCTTAGAGCATCCTTCCAACTCTGACCTGTCTGTGAGCATGTCTAAGCGTACTGTAAGCAATTCCTTTCGAATTCGATGTATATCCTCATATTTCTCGCTGGCTGACAAGACTAGTTGTCCTCTTCCACTCCCTCCCGTCAAACTCGAGCCTCTACCTTGGCAACTTTACCCGACGTCGACCCCGAACTTCTCATGCGTCAAACGAAAAGAATGAGAATTACTTCCCAAGCCGCCTCCTCTCAACCCCCATTGGTTGATGCGTCTCGACGAGCTCTCGACACCATTAAGGAGAAGTATCAATCCGGTCCTTCTCGCGAAGCACAATCGCTCCTTGATGACCATGTCATCGAGCAATATTTCGACTTCGAAGGGGGTGCTGGGCCATCTGCCACTGGTGAGAACCTATCTCCCGCCAAATCTGTCGAATCCGAACACCCTACCGTCGTCGAAAATGCAAATTCTCCCGGTAAGCAACCCACTGGTCCTCCTTCTGAGGCTTCCGACGAACTTGTGGAGGTTCCCGACGAGCTTGGTGACATCTTTCACGCCCCTCGCAAGGTTCCCGTCAACAAGGAACTGGTTAAGTTGCTCGAGGATAGAAAAGACTCCGAAATCGGTGAGAATTCCACCGAGTTCTGTTCGCTTCTGACTTGTTAGCTACCCTTTGGGTCGGCATGACCTTCTCCTCTGTTCGTCTCGCGTTGAAGAACGAAGCTCTGGACCGTTTCCGCGAAACCAACGCCATCAAGCCCACTGTAAAGTGGTTTAAGAATGCTGTAAGCCTCGAATTCTCTTGAATTTCATCGATTCTAATCATTAGCTCGATCGTTTGGCCCAAGGTTGGCGCCTCCGCAACAAAAATGGTGCTGTCGTTCGGCTAGAGGGTGAGCTCTGTACCGATTGTCAACGTCGTCTCGATGGTGGTGAAAACTTTCGTGTTGGATGTATTGGCCCTCGTAAGTTCTTGCTGCGACTCGTTCAATGTTGATGCAATTCAGTCGGTGGTGTGTGTGGTGAATGCTCTGCTAAGGGTACTTCAAAATGTTCGGTGAAGACCAACAACCCTGAGTCCAAATTCCGTGAGGTACCTGTCTATTTCCTTCGAACTTGGTCGATGTTGATGTATAGGGTATTGTTGTGGGAGCAAGAACGGTCACTTCCAAGGTTACCTTTGTCCTGGAGCACGAACTTTGTGCGGCTTCGGTCCGTTATCGATCCCTTCCTGCCCATGACCAACCCGCCTGTCTGACCCAACTTTCGGGTTACATCCATCTCTTTACCTCCCTTCTCCTTCCTCTCCCTTCTCAACATCTGGCTCTTTACAAATCCCTTCATCTTATTTCCGCCAACTACGCTCCTCCTTCTGCCGATGAAACTCTGGATCATCTTACTTCTACTGGTGATCCTACAGGATTGAGTTCCTCTCAGCCAGTTGCCGGTCCATCCTCTTCTCCCCATACTCCTCTTCCCCGCAATGTCATTCGTATTCCCGCTTCGGCCCGTCGTCCCCGAGCCGATTCTAACGCCTCCATTGAGTAGTGTGTTTATATCTCTCTATTTGTAGCTATACTTCCTGTGTATGCATTCATTTCTGACCCAGTTTTGTTGATCTTGATCGAATTCTCACTTTCTTCTGGGGTCCCTCTTCCTCTTTTCCAAAAATTCACCAAAAACGGCCAACTCTTCTACATTTTCTCGTGGTTCCCAGTCATAGGCCGCATTTCCTGTGTATCCTAACCATTTTACCTTGAATTCTTCCTTTCCTCGTCGAATTCTGCTGTCCACGATTGCTTCCACATGGAATTCATCCTGGCCGTTAATTACTACAGGCGGTGGGGGTGGTATCTGTCGACCTGGTATCATATCATTAGGATATGGTTCCAACAGCGTGACATTGAAGACATTGTGCACTTTCATTGATGGAGGTAGATCTAATTCGAAAGCATTTTTTCCAACTTTCCTTATGATCTTGAAGGGGCCAATGTATTTTGCTTCTAGTTTTCGACTGGGTCGTTCCGTCGTAAGATACTTCATACTTAGTAGTACCTGTTCTCCCTTTCTGAATTCTTCTGGTATGCTCTTGTGTCTCCTGTTGTAGTACTCTGCACTAATTTCATTCGCCATCCTGACCTGTTCTTGAACAGTCGCATGCAACTCTCCCATATCTCTCCATTTCTTCTCCAACTTGTTTGACTTTGATCGAATATCGTGCGAATGGATGTCGTAGTGCGGCACATAGCCGTAACAGGCTTCAAAAGGACACAGACCGTGGCTACTATGTGGCGAACAGTTATAAGCGAACTCAGCAATTGGTAGAAGTTGATCCCAATTGTCCATGTTGTAGTTTACATACATTCCGAGCAGGATTTCCATCTGTTGATTTACTCGCTCAGTTTGTCCATCTGTTTGAGGGTGATACGCAGTCGAGTATAAGTTCTTTATTCCCAAGAACTGACATATTTTCTTCCAAATTTCCGCTGTAAACTGAGTTCCCCTATCTGATACAATTGTTCGAGGTACTCCATGTTTTGAAAAGATCTCCTTGATGTAGATGTCGGCCACTTTGTTCGCTGTTAGTCCAGTTGTACATGGAATAAATCTAGCCATCTTGGTTAGTCGATCGACTATCACCAGTATCGCGTCGAACTCGGTCGATTTTGGTAGGGGTCCCACCATATCCATAGAGATATCTGTCCAGGGAAGTGTGGGTACTGGTAAAGAGACTAGATGTCCATACAGCTGGTGTCGAAAAATCTTGTGTCGGTTACAGATCTCGCATCCTTTTACGTATTTTGCAATATACTCGTCCAAATGTGGCCAGTAATAGTCCTCTTTGACCATGGTGATAGTTTTGTCTCTTCCTGGATGACCCACTAGTATCGAATCGTGTCTTGCTTTCATTACTTCTAATCTTGCCTGTCCCTCTGGTATGACTACTCTGTTTTTGTACAAGAGTAATCCGCTCTGTGTCCATGATACTATTGGTGTCTCGCTGCTAGCCTGTGTCTTCTGTGTGTCCTGTGTGTTCTGGGTGCTCGGTGTGCTCTGTGTGCTATGTGTCTGTGTCATCTGTAGTCCTAGTTGTCGTATGTTTGCTATGTCTTCTGAGTCTTTCAGTCCGTTCTTGATGAGTCCGAATAATGAATCTTCCCGGATTGCTCCTCTTACTATGTGTCTTGGTCCTTTGTGTTCTGAGTCCATTGAATTCGATCCAACTTGTTCGTGTGTCGGTAGCAATTGTAGCCAGTTGCCTTTGTTTAGATCCGGGTCCTTGCTACTCCCTCTTCCCGGATGATAATCTCCTTGTCTCGTCAGAGCATCTGCTCCCCCATTTTTGCTACCCGGTCGATAAGTGATCTCTATGTTGAAGTCTCCCAATATTTCCAACCATCTCATCTGCCTTCGATTTAGTTGTCGTTTGCTTTGGAAGTACTCTAAGTTCTTGTGATCTGTAATGACCTTTATAACATCACTGCTGTTGGCCAAGTAGGGCCTCCAGGCGACCAAGCAATCCACGATGGCTAGTAATTCTTTCTCTCCTACCGTGTAGTTTAGCTCACAGGGTGTCATTGCTCGAGACCAATACGCAACTGGGTGAAGTTCGGTGGTTCCCTTTATTGATGGGTGAGGGAATCTCTGAGACGCTATCGCACCTATCGCGCAATCGGATCCATCGGTTTCAATCCAAGTCGGTCGAGTTCTA